TCCTGCATCAGAGAGGAAGCACCAAAAAGTAGAGTAGAGTAGAGTAGAGTAGAGTAGAGTAGAGTAGAGCTGGTGGAATCGGGCTCTATCGGGCTGATACAGAGACAGTATAATCTGAAATCCCAATTAAACTCGGAGCTTGTCTTGTGGGTTTATGGCCGACGCAGGGAGGATAAACATGATTCATTACTTTGTTGTTGCAGAAATGTTACGGATGAAACTCCCGGAGGTTTAACTCGTAAAAAACTCCTCATTTTAGTCTCATTTGTGCAGTGGATTTTTAAAACCTCACTAAGGTCTGGGATTCACTTTGAGTCGACTATTTCCACAACTTTGACTTGTTCTGTTCTGATGTTCTGCTGTAGACCACCGTCTCCAACTTTGTATTTTAACTTTAACAAAACAGTGATTTTGTGACATCAGCAGGAGACACTCTGCTCCAAAAGTAGAAGATTTGTGTTGTTATTTTCTGTTGAGGCTGAAGCAGAAGCAGCACTACACTAGGATTTTGACTGTAGTCTGTTCATTGCTATTCAACTGTTGTCCCACTGTCAGTTTCATGGCGCGACGACGGGACCTCTGAACCCAGCCCCCTCCATCTACACCTGCGGACTGCCCTGCCCGACCCGCCTAGGACCAGCTTCAGTCCTGCACCGGACCTGTCCTCGTTCTACAGTCTGAGTTCTGGATCTACAGCCTCAGTCCTCGTTCTACAGTCTGAGTCCTGGGTCTACAGCCTCAGTCCTCGTTCTACAGTCTGAGTCCTGGATCTACAGCCTCAGTCCTCGTTCTACAGTCTGAGTCCTGGATCTACAGCCTCAGTCCTCGTTCTACAGTCTGAGTCCTGGGTCTAAAGCCACAGTCCTCGTTCTACAGTCTGAGTCCTGGGTCTAAAGCCACAGTCCTCGTTCTACAGTCTGAGTCCTGGGTCTAAAGCCTCAGTCCTCGTTCTACAGTCTGAGTCCTGGGTCTAAAGCCTCAGTCCTCGTTCTACAGTCTGAGTCCTGGGTCTACAGCCTCAGTCCTCGTTCTACAGTCTGAGTCCTGGGTCTACAGCCTCAGTCCTCGTTCTACAGTCTGAGTCCTGGATCTACAGCCTCAGTCCTCGTTCTACAGTCTGAGTCCTGGATCTACAGCCTCAGTCCTCTTTCGACAGTCTGAGTCCTGGATCTACAGCCTCAGTCCTCGTTCTACAATCTGAGTCCTGGATCTACAACCTCAGTCCTCGTTCGACAGTCTGAGTCCTGGATCTACAGCCTCAGTCCTCGTTCTACAGTCTGAGTCCTGGATCTACAGCCTCAGTCCTCGTTCTACAGTCTGAGTCCTGGATCTACAGCCTCAGTCCTCGTTCTACAGTCTGAGTCCTGGATCTACAGCCTCAGTCCTCGTTCGACAGTCTGAGTCCTGGATCTACAGCCTCAGTCCTCGTTCGACAGTCTGAGTCCTGGATCTACAGCCTCAGTCCTCGTTCGACAGTCTGAGTCCTGGATCTACAGCCCGTCCTCTCTCAAAGTGGATCTGAGGTTTCTCACTTTTCTCCCACTGGGTTTTAGAGTTTTTCCTCTGATGCTGAGTCTGTTGGACTGTCAGTGTCTAAGACTGTGGTGATCCAGGACACTTTAACATTCTACACCATGTATGGACCATCATAAGCTACATTTAGTTCGTATTTATATAAAGTAACTTCAAAGTAATGCAGTAGTAGATCCAGAGACAGTCATATCTATATTTGTTGGTCTGATGGCCGACAATGAGGAGAATGTCAGAAGCGGACAGGAGGCGACAGGAGGCGACAGGAGCGAGAAAATATGAATGGTTATCTCACACATTGGTATCAGCAGTGTTTCCAGGCACCTGGACAGACACACACAGACACACACACACACACACACACACACACACACACACACACACACACACACACATACTAGGAGTGGGCCGACTGAGCGCTAACATCCCCATAGACTGTATACAGATGGACAACGTTAACCCGCTGATCCTCAATGAAACCTAAAAGGACAGTTCTCATTAAGTTTTGCTCCATCTCTCTCTGGCTCTAAAAGTAAACTCCTTTAGCTCAGTAACTGTTATTTGTACATTTACAATGTACAACCGTCATACAATTAGCAACCGTCATAGCAACACCCCTGCTACAGCACTGAGCTAACACCGCCATCATAGAGTTAGCCCTTAATGCGGGAGAGACCAGTTTCAACATAAGCTGGAGCCATATTCCTTATACTGTATGGACATTACTTCTCTGACAGTAGCCTCGTAACAGGGGCAGACGTTTTGCTAACATGATTGCTGAGGCAAGTTGGAGTTTCCCTGCAAATTAAGTCATCCTTATAGAGCTCATATCTGGATTCACAAACACAACATCTCCACATAAACTCCAGGATCACAGAAAGCCATAAGGGATTTTTAAAACGCAAAATGTGAAGTGGGACACAGACCGTTACTGTGCAAGGGAAGTTGATGCTAGGACCTTAACCCTTAGCTTTTATCCTCCTGTCTCTTTGATTGGTGTAAAGGTGACATTTAAAACCTCTCATCCGTCACCATCAACACGACAAACTCCATAGAAACACAGTAACTGGACACAACTGCAGCACAACTGTCACCGCAGCCTCGGGGTCAAACACCCGCCATCTGCCACCGCCTCACCTGAGACCACCCCCTGTCTGACCAGTGCCATCAGGCCAGGACACACACACACACACACACACACACACACACACACACACACACACACACACACACACACACACACACACACACACACGCACACACACACGCACACGCACACACACGCACACGGCTGAATAAACAGAGTGAGTCATTAGTGAGTGATAAGTCATGTGTATTGGTCAGAATCTCAATATTTTGGTTGCCAATATAGGGTAGGGTAGAGTAGAGTAGAGTAGAGTAGAGTAGAGTAGAGTAGAGTAGAGTAGAGTAGAGTAGAGCAGAGTAGAGTAGAGTAGAGTAGAGTAGAGTAGAGTAGAGTAGAGTAGAGTAGAGTAGAGTAGAGTAGAGTAGAGTAGAGTAGAGGGTAGAGTAGAGTAGAGAAGGGTAGAGTAGAGTAGAGTAGAGCAGAGTAGAGTAGAGTAGAGTAGAGTAGAGTAGAGTAGAGTAGAGAAGGGTAGAGTAGAGTAGAGTAGAGTAGAGTAGAGTAGAGTAGAGAAGGGTAGAGTAGAGTAGAGTAGAGTAGAGTAGAGTAGAGAAGGTAAAGTAGAGCAGAGTAGGGCAGAGTAGAGTAGAGTAGAGTAGAGTAGAGTAGAGTAGAGTAGAGTAGAGTAGAGTAGAGTAGAGTAGAGTAGAGTAGAGCAAAGTGCGGGTTCAGGGTTCTATAATAGCACTTTTAATACAATATTTTATACTGTATCTTAAAAGCTAAAACAATGGAAAGCTGTGTTTTTATGGCGGGAGAAAAAACTTGAAGTCTGTTTTTTTTATCGTCTGTTTCATGGTGTGATGATGGAACCCTGAACCCGGGAACACATGTGGATCCAGCCTTATCCTGTGTCAAAAAGTGAAATATCTCTTTTATTTCTGTTCATCTTCCTCCAATAAAAACACATTTACATGACTTTGATTGTATTGTAAAAGTAAAGTATAAATCTGATCAATCTGTGCGTCAGGCTTATTCATGGTTCGTTCTTACGGTAGAGGGCGCTCTTCGCTTCTACAAAGGCTCAGGTCGAAATAAGGAGAGCACCGCGCTGTTCTGCTGCGGCTGAACCGAGAGGAGAACCAAGAAAGAACTCTGCTTTTTATATACAATTATCAAAACTCTGAATAAAATTGTTGAAAAATAAAAATGATGCATGAAAAGTTGACCTAAAACACGTGGTCTGTGAGGGGAAGGGCGATGAGAGATGATTGACACGAAGTTACTCATGAATGACAAATATATTTTAAAGTGATTAGCAATAAAACTGCATCCAGGAGACTTCAGGATATTCTTGGTTCCAGCGCGCGTAAAATCTGCTCCATTTGGCACATTTGGTTTTACGCACACACGCTATGAATCCCCACTGGGAACGAACGCGGTGGAATTGAAGTTTTTTGAAGACGCATTTTATAATGAGGCGCGCGCGCGCGTGTGTGTGTGTGTAAGAGAGAGAGAGAGAGAGAGAGAGAGAGAGAGAGTACATGTGTTAGTATGTGCTTATGATACGCACTGTCTGTGTGTAAGTGTATATTAATGTATGAGAGAGATATAGAGATAGAGAGAGTGCGTGTGTCTTTGTGTGGGTGTGTATGTGTGTATGAGAGAGAGAGAGAGAGAGAGAGAGAGAGAGAGAGAGAGAGAGAGAGAGAGAGAGAGAGAGAGAGAGAGAGAGAGAGAGAGAGAGAGAGAGAGAGAGAGAGAGAGAGAGAGAGAGAGAGAGAGAGAGAGAGAGAGAGACAGACAGAGCTGGCTGCTGCTCGCTGATTGGCTGCCCGTCTTGCTGGCTGGTGGGGGTATTATACTATTGTCCGCCCCTTAATCTGGGTTGGCTCAGAGACTGCCCCCAGGCCAATTTGTAAGTGGTTTTCGCAGCTGCCAATCAAAGCAGACATCCTCTCCTCAGGCCTTGGCACAGGGAGGGGGGGCGCGCGCAGTTGCCGTGTGGAGAGAGATTTGACTGAGAGAGAGACACACACACACTCCCCTGACTGACACACACACACGCGCAGACACAGAGACAGAGACACACACCGCCTGCATCGTGTAGTACATGGACCTGCATCATTCCCAGAGCCCACAGAGCCACACTCCACGCGTTCTGTCGCTTGGAACCCGCAGCGACGCGTCAGAAGGACAGCGACTGTGCATGACACCGGGAGACGCAGGAGCAGCAGAAACAGAAACAGCAGAGACTGAAACAGCAGGAGCAGAAGCAGGAGCAGCAGCAGCAGCAGCAGCAGGAGCAGAGGGGGAGAGAGAGGCGCAGCAGTGTCGCCAGTGGTAGTGCGTCTTTCCCCTATGCCCCTCTGATTGATTCCGCGGCATGGGGACCCACCGCACCCGGATTAGGGAGAGCTGCCTCCCGCTCGTCTGCCGCTTGCTTCTCCTCCTGACGCTGTGGACCGAGGTGAGTGTGTTTGTGTGCGTGTGTGTGTGCAAGCCGGACGTACATACACTGAGCCCGGGCGAGCGTGGTGGTGGCACACGGGCGGATGCAGTGAACACAAATGTTGCAATGTATAAGAAATAATTTAATGGTGAAAAGTTGGTGGGCGTGGGCGCGCGCTTTATGGACTGCGTTTTGGTCGGTGAATTGAATTACGTCAGTTGTGGAGAGAGCATGTGATGGTGCAAAGCGTGACCAAGATACAAGTGTTGGAGGGTTGATGGTAGAGAGAGCAGAGAGAGAGAGCAGAGAGAGAGAGCAGAGAGAGAGAGCAGAGAGAGAGAGCAGAGAGAGAGAGCAGAGAGAGAGAGCAGAAAGAGAGAGAGCAGAAAGAGAGCAGCCTCAGACCAGCCTCTGCAGCAGGTTCCAGGCGTCTTCTGGAGCTCTGAGTCAAAAACAGCTGGAGGTGGAGGGGAGGTTTGAAAACAGACCAGAGTGTGTATACAAACATGCACACATACACACAGTAGACAGTACATAGACACACTGCACATAAGAGTTCAAGTACCTACTGTGTGTTGAGTGGAAAATCTTTGATAATGAAAAAATAATGTGTACATAAAAGGCCAGGAAGACAGTTTAAGAATTTAGCTGTATAAATCTGAAATGCTGCTTCCCCATGTTTAGTCCTGACTCTGGGACCAGCAGGAGGCCAGTCCCTGTGCTCCTCAGTCCGAATCCTCTTAAGGCGACTGGAACATTTCAGATCAAACTGAACAGGACTTTCGCAGTTTCCTCGTACACAATCACGACGACTCATTTGGACGAACTGTATCTTACTTTTAAAGATTCGTGGCGATATATTGGAGCTACATTGTGCCACTGATTGATACAATTGCGATACAGGAGGAAATCCCCATTCACCATTTTAAAATTTCGGAACAAAACCAGAATTATTTAGCAACGAATAACCATCAATGTGACTTCAGGCTTAAGCTGTAGAGTCGATTATCGTATTGCAAAGAACTGGTCTTGGTCTGGGGTCTTGGGTCTGGGGTCGGCCTATCAGCACCCGTCCTCTGCCCCAGGAGACAAACCCTCTGGATGCACTCTCCCCTGGATCAGATTCTCCCACTGGGCTTTTTAGAGTTGTTCTTTGCCGATGCCGGAGGGTCTAAGACGGTGGCGAGGATCCAGAACACATTAATGGACCTTGGTCTCTGCCTCTTATGGACCAATGGCTTTGTGTGTTTTCTTACGATTGCATTTCCTGAGTTTGATTCTCTGATCTGTGTTGGCGAATCTACGGCTTTGTTAAGTCCTCCGAGCCTGTTGTGATTTACGGCTGTAGAAAAAGAAATGTATTTGTATCTGAGCACCGGGGAATCCATAGTGCTTTAACTCATTGACTGCCATTGACGTATTTGTCTGAGACCCTCTGTTCGACTGAGGATTACAGGACAATAAAAACAGCTAGAAACAAACTTATTTTTGCTGATGAAAGTAGACAATCCAGTCTTTCAGAATCAGGTTTCATATTTCACATAGTCTTAGGAAATAATATTCTGTGGGTCTTGAGAATCAGTGAAGTCATCAAAAACGGCTGCCAGTCGAGTTAAAACAGTTACAGACTCGCTAAGTTCAGGTGTTTTTCAATCCGTTCTCATTGTTCTGTGATTAGTTTTGTCTTGAGTTAAAACGCTTTTTGTGGTTCTTTTGAAAGACAAGTTTATATGCATGTCGCCGAAACATATCAAAGTATATACATCTCAACTTGTCTTTCAGAGAAACCACAAAACGCATTGTATTTTATGACTTTGTTTCTGTGTGTTGATGAACCGTCTCATTATCTCGTGAAGCGTCTTGTGAGTCGTTCTGTCGATAGTTTACACACTTATTCAGGACATGTTGCATCTTAAGCCAATACACACTTCCATACATTGATAAGTGAGGGAGGTGTTGTGACGGGGATGAGCCTCAAAGTGACGTTAAAGTTGAGTTTTAGTCGTGTCCCAGTGGTTCCTTGACTGTGCAGGAGGTTCTAAGGACAGGGTGCAGGGTCCACGGTGACTGGATTGGTACCATGAAAAGAGAGAGACTTGGCTTCTACACAACAATACTCATAAAAATCCCATTTACACAAACCGTGATTGTCCTGGACTTTTTTTAATACTTCTGGACAGCGGTTGTCTTGCACTTTCATATGCACCTCCTTGATGAGGCTTAAGCACCGGTTTGTCCAACTCTACTGTGCCTTACTCTACTCTACTTTACTCGACTCTACTCTACTCTACCTGGTTGTGTTTCCCTTACCCTTTAGTATCTAGTACCTGACAAAAACAAACGAGGGAAAGTCCTTGGTAATTATGGCTTCCAGCAGCAGTCATTCGGCCAATCGCTGTAGACTGGAGTAGGCTTGGGGTAGGCTTGGGGTAGGCTTGGGGTAGGCTTGGGGTAGGCTTGGAGTAGGCTTGGAGTAGGCTTGGGGTAGGCTTGGAGTAGGCTTGGAGTAGGCTTGGAGTAGACTTGGAGTAGACTGGGAGTAGACTTGGAGTAGACTTGGAGTAGGCTTGGAGTAGACTTGGAGTAGACTTGGAGTAGGCTTGGAGTAGACTGGGAGTAGACTGGGAGTAGACTTGGAGTAGACTTGGAGTAGGCTTGGAGTAGGCTTGGAGTAGACTTGGAGTAGACTGGGAGTAGACTGGGAGTAGACTGGGAGTAGACTGGGAGTAGACTTGGAGTAGACTGGGAGTAGACTGGGAGTAGACTGGGAGTAGACTGGGAGTAGACTGGGAGTAGACTGGGAGTAGACCTGGCGTAGACTTGGCGTAGACTTGGCGTAGACTTGGCGTAGACTAGACTTTCACACAAACCGTGATGATCCTGGACTTTAATACTTCTGGACCGTGGTCGTCTTGATCCTAATGTGTTTGAGCTGATTCTCTGATCTGCTGTTGACGTATCGACAGCTCTAGACAAATGCTTTGAATCTAGATCCCCCCCTTTCTTTACAGACTCGTACAGTTTATCTTGTTAAATATTTTTTCCATTGGCGCCTCTTTCATCACCTCTGACTACTGCACATTCCTCCAGCTGCCACAATAATGACTGTAGCGATGGAGAAAACCACATATGACGAGAACATTAGAAAGAATTGACTCAAGAAGTGGTGAAACTTTATGCGGCACTAGAATATAGGACAGATGGCACGTCTTTCCAATATTTGCTAATGCTACTTTTCCAATTCAGTCAGTCTCTGAGGACTTACAAAGTTGTCGATTCATTTTCAACTGATCGGAGAATCAAACAGTGAGGGCCTCGAGGTTTCTCACTTTTTTTCTCACTGTTTTTTGTTTTTGCCGATGCAGACGGGTGTAAGGGCAGTGGTCTCTGCTCCTTCTGGATTTCTTGTGTTTGAGAACTGTTTGATTCTCTGATCTGTTGTTGGAGAATCGACAGCTTTGTAAAGTCCTCAGAGATGACTTCTGTAGCGATGTAGGACAAAAGACAAATACCTTTCTGGGGTCGTCCTGCTTCTTGCACTTGTGTCAGTGGTTAAAGTCTCCATGTTATCGTTTCTCGCAAGTATTTCCTGAATCAATATATCGTCCATCTCTCACCCCCAGTTGTCTCAGTCCTCTCTCATACGTTTACCAAACCAGTGTCTCTCTCTCTCTCTCTCTCTCTCTCCCAGTTGTCCCAATATGATCACATAGTCTCTATCTCTCTCTCTCCCATTGGTCCCAGTATGATAACATAGTCTCTCTCTCGTCCCAGTATAACAGTCTCTCTTTCTCTCTCTCTCCCAGTATGATAACATAGTCTCTCTCTCTCTCTCCCAGTTCTCCCAGTCCTCTCCAGTATGATAACAGACTCTCATTCTTTATCTCTCTCGTCCCAGTATGATAACGTAGTCTCTCTCTCTTTCCCAGTTGTCCCAGTCCACCGGTCACTTCGAGCTGCAGCTGATCTCAGTGGAGAACGTAAACGGCGAGCTGGCGGACGGCGAGTGTTGCGACGGCCCCAGGAACAACCAGGACCTGCGCTGTACCCGGGACGAGTGCGACACCTACTTTCGCGTGTGCCTAAAGGAATACCAGGCCGAGGTCACCACCGGCGGCGGCTGCACCTACGGCGCCGCCACCACGCAAGTTCTCGGTGGAAATATGTTTTCTTTTCAAGGCAACAAGAACAGTCCCAATAAAATGGACGAAGCCGGCAAGATCTCCATCCCCTTCCAGTTCGCCTGGCCGGTGAGTCTGTTCTCAGCTTTTTTATCGATGTCTTTGCTTGGCTTGGAGTTTGAAAACGAAAATATTTTATATGCACCTCCTTGATGAGGCTTAAGCACTGGTTCCACCTACTCTACTCTACTCTACTCTACTCTACTCTACCTGGTTGCATTTCCCTTACCCTTTAGTAGTACCAGACAAAAACAAACCAGGGAAAGTCCTTGGTAACTATGGCTTCCATCAGCACTCTGGCCAATCACAGTAAACTAGAGTAGACCAGAGTGCGGTTGGGTCCAGAGTGCGGTTGGGTCCAGAGTGCGGTTGGGTCCAGAGTGCGGTTGGGTCCAGAGTGCGGTTGGGTCCAGAGTGCGGTTGGGTCCAGAGTGCGGTTGGGTCCAGAGTGCGGTTGGGTCCAGAGTGCGGTTGGGTCCAGAGTGCGGTTGGGTCCAGAGTGCGGTTGGGGCCGGGGCCAGAGTTCTCTTCCATGATTGCTTATATTTGTCCAATGTCTTCTTGGATTCACATTTGCAGTCTGTTTCACATAGAAACTCAGAAAAACATCTATATATTCTCTGTCTGTGTTTTTCGTGGATTATCCGGTTTGTTTTGTACAATCACATTCGAGCGAAGTGAGTCAATTATTTATTTGGATTTGCTTTTCTGGGGTTCTCTTGCTTTTTATCTGAAATGCGGGCTTCTGTGGTTTGTTGCCTGGATACTTAAGTTATAGAAAGACTTGCCTCACGATCGAACGGTTCAATGAGAAAATGCTGTTTATGAAATATGTCTGTCTATTCTTTGACAATATTGAGTCGTTTCTTACAGTTTTTGTGGAATTGTCTTGGTCTTGGTTCAAAGACTCCTCCATAGACTGTATTAGGAGTGGACTGACTGGTGCTAACATTACATTACTATAGTGTTTGCCGATTTGAACATAAGCTAAATGATAAGGGCATTTGTTCCGGCTAAAGTGTTGCTAAGGTGGATTTTAAGGTGGTAGATTTTTTTTAGCCCAAAATGGTGAGTGTGACACAAACGGTTACTGAGCTTGAGGAGTTTACTTTTACAAGTCAATAGGAGCCAGAGGGTTGGGAGCAAAACTTCCTCCTTGAGCACTTCCCTATTGTGCATCATTGAGCTAGCATGTTTGCATTGTCCATCTATATACAAGCTATGTATCCATCTAAGCATTTTCTGTAGTGTTCTCCTGCTTTTTACCATTGCAAAGTCGCACAGATCTCAATTTTCCCCAATCCGAGTTCAGGATCGTTAGCCTCGTTCGTTATGCTAGCCCCATCTCCGCGCACAATAGAAAGTCGTTGCGGACTTCCAGACTTCTGCGGACACCCTTCGTGGCTAAACACATGCGTGCCTTGGATCCGGTTGCAGCTACAGCACTTGGCCGTGTCATCTGGGTCATGTTTTAACGTCGGCCTGATATATGGACTTGGCCTGGTTCCAAACGGCCCACTAGCACCTGCCAGTCACCCACGATCCCGCCATTACTGGAGGAAACTGGTGCGTGGACATGGAGCCTTCAGGGGGCTGTGTATGTAAATCCAGAGCCAGGTATTTGGAGCGATTTCTTAAGGAGCTGGAAGGAGAAAGTCAAGGCAAAACATGTGCAAGAATGTTTTAAAGAGCGCTCCATGACTCTCTGCTGGTTTTATCGCATCTGTTAGTCTGTGGATTCTGCCTTTGTTGACCTGACTATCTGCTAAAATTGGATACTGACTGATAATGGCAACAAAACACACCGATATCTTTAGCTTTTTAGTTCTAAATTCCTGATGTCTGTGATTCGTTTGGCATTAAATGTAAATCTTGAGCCTTAAAAACCTCACATTATTGCCTGAATATCAGAAAAACTCTCAATATTTCTTGTCTATGGAGCAGGAAAAAAGTGAAATGCAAGTAATGTCTGTAAACTTGGTCTCAACCCCGGTCATTAAAGCATGAAGCGTTGAATATTTTTTACATTTCTTTAAAGTAAAAACAGCTGAAATTGACATGAAAATTGTATGTTTACATTTAGGCAGAAGCAACGACATCTCCAGGGTCAAGAAGCAGGTGACACCAATATGTGTGTGTCTTTAAAACAAGAAAAGGAGATTGGTCGAACTTTTGTGGCTTGTGTGCACTGCAGTGATTAGTTCAGAGGACTCTCCCTATGGTCTCACTCTCAGGTCTCTCTTTCAGGTCTCTTTCAGGTCTCTCTCTGGTCTTTCTCTCTGGTCTCTCTCTGGTCTTTCTCTCTAGTTTCTTTCGGGTGTCTCTCCCTGGTCTCTTACTGATTTGGTCTCTCAAATCTCGCACTCCAATCTCTCTCTGGTCTCTCTCTCTGGTCTCTTCTTCTGGTCTCTCTTTGGTCTGTTTGCTGGTCTCTCTTTCTGGTCTATCTCTGCAGTCTCTTTGGTCTCGTTCTGGTCTCTCTCTTGTATCTCTCTCTCTGGTCTCTTCTTCTGGTCTCTCTTTGGTCTCTTTGCTGGTCTCTCTTTCTGGTCTATCTCTGCAGTCTCTTTGGTCTCGTTCTAGTCTCTCTCTTGTATCTCTCTCTCTGGCCTCTCTCTCACTTCATCAGGCGTGAGTTCAGGTGGTTAAAGTGTGAGGGTTTTAATGAGGAATATTGTGAGAACACATCACCCCTGCCTAACCGAACCCAAACCCTTTAGTCAACATGGACTAAAACCATATCTAAGTAAACTCTAATCAGTACCGAAACTGCCTGAAAACAAACTCTATACTTACTGTAGTTGCAAAGTATTCATTAAACCACTTATTTTTCCGTGCCGGCCTTTGTAACCCTCCTCCATTACTCTTTCATACTGACAGCTGAAATATGCTGACTGACAAATGCTTCGCCTTCAGGCTCATGTTTTTACTTTTCGTAAGCCTTCTGACACCTCCTCCTGCTGCTCCTCCTGCTCCTGCTCCTCCTGCTGCTCCTCCTGCTGCTCCTCCTGCTGCTCCTGCTCCTGCTCTGGTTGGCAGGTTGGGTGAGCTGGAGGCTAATTACTGATGGAGCCGACACACGCCAACCTAAGAACAGTCGCTTTGATTTTAGATGGAGATAGATGGAGATAGATGGAGATAGATGGAGAGAGACTGAGAGAGACCGAGAGAGAGACCGGAGAGAGAGACCGGAGAGAGAGACCGGAAAGAGAGACCGGAAAGAGAGACCGGAGAGAGAGACCGGAGAGAGAGACCGGAGAGAGAGACCGGAGAGAGAGACCGGAGAGAGAGACCGGAGAGAGAGACCGGAGAGAGAGACCGGAGAGAGAGACCGGAGAGAGAGACCGGAGAGAGAGACCGGAGAGAGAGACCGGAGAGAGAGACCGGAGAGAGAGACCGGAGAGAGAGACCGGAGAGAGAGACCGGAGAGAGAGACCGGAGAGAGAGACCGGAGAGAGAGACCGGAGAGAGAGACCGGAGAGAGAGACCGGAGAGAGAGACCGATAATATACTAGGGCTGCACAAAATATCAAAAATATTATCGCGATATTGGTGCGTGCTATATCCAAAAAAATGTCTCTTTATTAAGACGACAAAACAGACACATCAACATTCAACGAGAACGACAAACAAACAAGTTAAAGTATATAAACATGCATTTGAAGGTCATTCATGTTGCGCTTATATTTTGTTATTTGTTTCCTGCGTTTCAAGGCAGTTTGCTAGTTTCTGTGACAGACAAAAATATTGCAATAAGACTCTAATAGTTCTCTAATTTCCAATATCTCGCTGCGCTATAATATACTCTACTGTATCAAAAACAAATGGTGCGGTGTCGGCCAAAGATTAGTTTCTACAACAGCCGCAAGTTTGAGCTCTGAAGAATGATTTTTAGATTTGGCTTTTTCATTATCGTACTATTCTGTTCTAGTTCTTCTTAGTGGCGTGTCCAAAATGATGCTGAAATGTTGGTATGGAAGTCATGTTTACAGCCAAAAAGTGACGTCGGTCTGTGGGTGTGGTCTATGGGTGTGGTCTGTGGGTGTGGTCTGTGGGTGTGGTCTGTGGGTGTGGTCTGTGGGTGTGGTCTGTGGGTGTGGTCTGTGGGTGTGGTCAGTGGGTGTGGTCAGTGGGTGTGGTCAGTGCCTGTGTGTGTTTTTATCTGTGTTTGTCTGATTCTCTGATCTGTGTTGGTGAATCGACAGCGTTGTAAAGTCTACTGTCTTTTTGAGATGTATTCATTAAGAGACGAAGTGGACGCAAAGAAGTTCAAACTAGTAGTGCTGGAAAAACTATCCTGTTCAGTATCGCGATGATTCAATACAGTAGCAAAGTATCGCGATATTTTATCTGCGTTTACTCCGTGGTTCTAGACTTTTTGCACTTCTTCAGTTTCATACAGACCATAATAAATGAGTCCTATTCTCTTCCATGTTTGAATAATATGAAGGACATGAATCACAATACATCACAAAATCGAATCACACAAAACTGTATCGCGATATGTTACGAATTGCGATATTATTGAATTGTGGCCTAAATAACGCAATATTGTTGTAATTGTCACTTTTTTGCCAATTCTTGTTCAAACAACGGCAGAACAAAAGAAAAAATGAATCAGATTTATTACTGGTTACACTTATTTTGAATGAATCCTACTCTTTCCTGAAACATGTATAATCTACATGTTGTGACTGGTTTTGGATGCCACAGTTATTAATAATACTCCATTATTCTCTATCTATAATGACAGATACTGTGCCTGGATCTGTAGCTGCAGGGAGAGGGCCCAGAGCAAACAGTAGAAGACATAATTACTCTGCGTTTGCCTCCGCCCTCTGTGTAAGTTGACTTCTCACATGCTAATGCTGCTAATCTTCTTTACGGCCTCTTGGCGCTGGGCTTTGATGATGTTTCCCGGCGCTGCTTTATTGCTGACTAAGCTGCTTCGCCTGTGGGCTCTGAGCGGCGGGCTCTGAGCGGCGGGCTCTGAGCGGCGGGCTCTGAGCGGCGGGCTCTGAGCGGCGGGCTCTGAGCGGCGGGCTCTGAGCGGCGGGCTCTGGGCGGCGGGCTCTGGGCGGCGGGCTCTGGGCGGCGGGCTCTGGGCGGCGGGCTCTGGGCGGCGGGCTCTGGGCGGCGGGCTCTGGGCGGCGGGCTCTGAGCGGCGGGCTCTGGGCGGCGGGCTCTGGGCGGCGGGCTCTGGGCGGCGGGCTCTGAGCGGCGGGCTCTGAGCGGCGGGCTCTGAGCGGCGGGCTCTGAGCGGCGGGCTCTGAGCGGCGGGCTCTGGGCGGCGGGCTCTGGGCGGCGGGCTCTGGGCGGCGGGCTCTGGGCGGCGGGCTCTGAGCGGCGGGCTCTGAGCGGCGGGCTCTGAGCGGCGGGCTCTGGGCGGCGGGCTCTGGGCGGCGGGCTCTGAGCGGCGGGCTCTGAGCGGCGGGCTCTGAGCGGCGGGCTCTGAGCGGCGGGCTCTGAGCGGCGGGCTCTGGGCGGCGGGCTCTGAGCGGCGGGCTCTGGGCGGCGGGCTCTGAGCGGCGGGCTCTGAGCGGCGGGCTCTGAGCGGCGGGCTCTGGGCGGCGGGCTCTGAGCGGCGGGCTCTGAGCGGCGGGCTCTGAGCGGCGGGCTCTGAGCGGCGGGCTCTGAGCGGCGGGCTCTGAGCGGCGGGCTCTGAGCGGCGGGCTCTGAGCGGCGGGCTCTGTCTGCGGCAGGTGGACGGAGGGTTAGGGTCGGGGTTGGTCAGGAAAAGATGTGAAGAAGCAAAGTCAGGGGAACGGAACAAGAGTCAAAAACCTGAGCCTCAATTAACACAAATCCTTTGTTCGTCCCACAGTGGGGAAATTTCAGTGTTGCAGCGCACAGACAGGGCAGTAACAAGGGACACACAAAATATACAATATGAGTAGCTGCTACATGTATGTTTCCTAGCTAGCTGTAAATGCTAAAATATATATATATATTATATAACGCTCTCACTCGCTCTCATACTGTATATATGTATATATATATATATATATATATATATATATATATATATATATAATATGGGCAGGATAAGTAGTAAAATGTGCAAAAATCCTTGAATTGATCGATTCCCCTCCACAGTACGTCACTGATGTGTTCTGCGCAGTATCACGATATTTTATTTGAATGGATTCGTTAGAACAAAGTATCGAGATATTTAATTAGATCATTATTTGTGTTCCCTTTGTTTCTCTGAGTTTACTCCATCTGAGGCTTCTGTGTCTCTCTTTGATCTCACTCTCTGGCCTCTCTCTCTGGTCTCTCTCGCTCTCTGGTTTCTCTCTCTCTGGTCTCTCTCTCTCTCTCTCTCTCTGGCCTCTCTCTGGCCTGCCTCTCTCTGGCCTCTCTCTCTCTCTCTCTCTGGCCTCTCTCTCTGGCTCTCTCTCTCTGGCCTCTCTCTCTCTGGCTCTCTCTCTCTGGCCTCTCTCTCTGGCCTCTCTCTCTCTCTCTCTTTGGCCTCTCTCTCTGGCCTCTCTCTCTCTCTCTCTTTGGCCTCTCTCTCTCTCTCTCTCTCTCTTGGCCTCTCTCTCTCTCTCTCTCTCTCTCTCTCTCTGGCCTCTCTCTCTCTCTCTCTCTGGCCTCTCTCTCTCTCTCTGGCCTCTCTCTCTTCTCTCTGGCCTCTCTCTTTCTCTGGCCTCTCGTCTCTCTCTCTGGTCTCTCTCTCTCTCTCTGGTTCTCTCTCTCTCGTCTGGCCCCCTCTCTCTCTCTGCTCTCTCTCTCTCTCTCTCTCTCTCTGGCCCCTCTCTCTCTCTCTCTCTCTCTGGCCTTTCTCTCTCTCTGGCCTCTCTCTCTGGCCTCTCTCTCTGGCCTCTCTCTCTCTCTCTCTTTGGCCTCTCTCTCTGGCCTCTCTCTCTCTCTCTCTCTTGGCCTCTCTCTCTCTCTCTCTCTCTCTTTGGCCTCTCTCTCTCTCTCTCTCTCTCTCTCTCTCTCTGGCCTCTCTCTCTCTCTCTGGCCTCTCTCTTTCTCTGGCCTCTCTCTTCTCTCTGGCCTCTCTCTCTCTGGTCTCTCTCTCTCTCTGGTCTCTCTCTCTCTCTGGCCCTCTCTCTCTCTTCTCCTCTCTCTCCTCTCTCTCTCTCTCTCTGGGCCCTCTCTCTCTCTCTCTCTCTCTCTGGCCCTCTCTCTCTCTCTCTCTCTCTGGCCTCTCTCTCTCTCTGGCCCTCTCTCTCTCTTGCTCTCTCTCTCTCTTGGCTCTCTCTCTCTCTCTCTGGCTCTCTCTCTCTCTCTCTGCTCTCTCTCTCTCTGCTCTCTCTCTCTCTCTCTGGGCCTCTCTCTCTCTCTCTCTGCTCTCTCTCTCTCTCTGCTCTCTCTCTCTCTCTGGCCTCTCTCTCTTTCTCTCTGCTCTCTCTCTCTCTTGCTCTCTCTCTCTCTCTGCTCTCTCTCTCTCTCTCTCTTTAGTCTCTCTCTGGTCTCTCTTTAGTCTCTCTTTAGTCTCTCTGGTCTCTCTCTGGTCTCTCTCTGGTCTCTCTCTGGTCTCTCTCTCGTCTCTCTCTGGTCTCTCTTTAGTCTCTCTTTAGTCTCTCTCTGGTCTCTCTCCGGTCTCTCTCTGGTCTCTCTTTAGTCTCTCTTTAGTCTCTCTCTGGTCTCTCTCTGGTCTCTCTTTAGTCTCTCTTTAGTCTCTCTTTAGTCTCTCTTTAGTCTCTCTCTGGTCTCTCTTTAGTCTCTCTTTAGTCTCTCTCTGGTCACTCTCTGGTCTCTCTCTGGTCTCTCTTTAGTCTCTCTTTAGTCTCTCTTTAGTCTCTCTCTGGTCTCTCTCTGGTCTCTCTCTGGTCTCTCTTTAGTCTCTCTCTGGTCTCTCTTTAGTCTCTCTTTAGTCTCTCTCTGGTCTCTCTCTGGTCTCTCTTTAGTCTCTCTTTAGTCTCTCTTTAGTCTCTCTTTAGTCTCTCTCTGGTCTCTCTCTGGTCTCTCTTTAGTCTCTCTCTGGTCTCTCTCTGGTCTCTCCTTAGTCTCTCTCTGGTCTCTCTCTGGTCTCTCTCTGGTCTCTCTTTGGTCTCTCTCTGGCCTCTCTCTGGTCTCTCTTTAGTCTCTCTCTGGTCTCTCTCTGGTCTCTCTCTGGTCTCTCTTTAGTCTCTCTCTGGTCTCTCTCTGGTCTCTCTTTAGTCTCTCTCTGGTCTCTCTCTGGTCTCTCTCTGGTCTCTCTTTAGTCTCTCTCTAGTCTCTCTCTGGTCTCTCTCTGGTCTCTCTCTGGTCTCTCTTTAGTCTCTCTTTGGTCTCTCTCTGGTCTCTCTCTGGTCTCTCTTTAGTCTCTCTTTAGTCTCTCTTTAGTCTCTCTCTGGTCTCTCTCTGGTCTCTCTTTAGTCTCTCTCTGGTCTCTCTCTGGTCTCTCTCTGGTCTCTCTCTGGTCTCTCTCTGGCCTCTCTCTGGTCTCTCTTTAGTCTCTCTCTGGTCTCTCTCTGGTCTCTCTCTGGTCTCTCTTTAGTCTCTCTCTGGTCTCTCTCTGGTCTCTCTTTAGTCTCTCTCTGGTCTCTCTCTGGTCTCTCTCTGGTCTCTCTTTAGTCTCTCTCTAGTCTCTCTCTGGTCTCTCTCTGGTCTCTCTCTGGTCTCTCTTTAGTCTCTCTCTGGTCTCTCTCTGGTCTCTCTTTAGTCTCTCTCTGGTCTCTCTCTGGTCTCTCTCTCTGGTCTCTCGCTGGTCTCTCTCTGGTCTCTCTCTGGTCTCTCTTTAGTCTCTCTCTGGTCTCTCTCTGGTCTCTCTCTGGTCTCTCTTTAGTCTCTCTCTGGTCTTTCTTCAGTCTCTCTCTGGTCTCTCTTTAGTCTCTCTCTGGTCTCTCTCTGGTCTCTCTTTAGTCTCTCTCTGGTCTCTCTCTGGTCTCTCTTTAGTCTCTCTCTGGTCTCTCTTTAGTCTCTCTCTGGTCTCTCTCTGGTCTCTCTCTCTGGTCTCTCGCTGGTCTCTCTCTGGTCTCTCTCTGGTCTCTCTCTGGTCTCTCTCTGGTCTCTCTTTAGTCTCTCTCTGGTCTCTCTCTGGTCTCTCTTTAGTCTCTCACTGGTCTCTCTCTGGTCTCTCTCTCTGGTCTCTCTCTATGCTCCATTGATGTGCGTGTGGGAGTGACGGATGCTTGCAGCTTGAACTGAACATCACTATAATTGCGGTCTCTAAGTGATGTTTAATAGCGTTGATGATTTCCAGGACGTCGAGGAGAGCGCACCATCTGTCACTGTCTGTTTGAGGCAGCAGGTGTGAAGCATTATCAATGAAAAAGAAACAACAACAATCTTATAACAGCTGTAATCTGGACAGAGAACATACATGATTAACATTGTCTATGATTTGAATTCATTTCAGCCCTTAAAAAGTGCACAATGCTAAGTTGTTAGAAAGCTAGTTAACTGGTGGAGGGTGTATACTGTTGATATTGTTGATGTCCAATACCCTGTTTCCACCAGCCCCACTCGATTCTACTCTTCCTTACTCTAACCTACCGTACACAGGTCTACTCTAGTCTACTCTCCCCCGGTTTCCACTGGCCTTCTTTGACCAGTACCAGTTCCTTCGCTGTCCCTCTTTGCCCTGGTTCTATACAGGCTGAGCTGGAACTAAAGTGTTCTAACTGACAGTGATTGACTAGTGCTGAGAAGGTCCTGGGCTTGATTCCACCTCCAGACATGGCCTTTCTGTGTGATGAGGTGTACTCCAAGCAAAGTAATAGCATCCAGTGGCACCCTCAATCATTATTGTCTACCTTAAAACATGTTTTTGATAAGAAACTTGGGTTTTTCATGGGTTAAAAACAGAAAACAGTCGCCACTTTCTCTGAGACAAATCTCTGAAGCTCTTCTGTGACATAACAAAGGGAGACACATAAAAAGACAAGAGATAACTGATTTTGGAGGCGATTTATGGAGAGTTTGTGCGGAGAATTTATTTCTTAGTAAATACTCTAGGATTACTGTTTAGTTTGATTTATAAAGCTGGAGTAACCAACTTGTTTTTGTTGTTTCATACATCAATATTGTATGTTTAACTGTAAGAGTTAACAGAAATGGATTAAGGGGAAGAAAATGGATGGATGGATGGAACTGTAAGAGTCTCGTCTTAGTAGCAACTTCAAAGTAAACAAATCAGGCACAACATGCTGTAGTTATCATAAACATTTGCACACCCTTTACCAAGCCACGGAGATCCAAGATGGCGCCTTATTCTAATTAATGGCTTGTGCTCAGTAGCGCATGGACACGGAGGCCGAAAGATTAGCGGAACTCGCCCACATTTGGGGATCGTCTGGTCCTCCCGGTTCTGCACAGTGGATGAGCTCCCATGATGTTTTGTGCCAAGTTTGCGTGTGTGGCTATCATGCACATGCACTGAGGGGTTTGGTCGCCAATCAGCGGCAGGTGATCAGAGCGGAGCTGGAGCGGGAGCCAAACGAGCAGAATTTGTTGCATTGAGGTGTAGATTTATAGAAAACCGAAGCATTTAACAAGAAAATGAATTTATCTTTAGGTCCTCGGCCAGCAGAGGTTGAGCTGTTTTAGTTTACATTGAGTTTTATGCAGTGTTAATTTTGTCGACGATATATTATTGTCATATTTTTGTCACAAATATATTTTTGGGGACAAAAACAAAACGAAAACTAAAATATAAGTTTTTCATTGAGACGTAGACGATGACTAAATTGATTGACATTTTCGTCCATGAATAAAAGACGAGACAAAAAATGGACTATGATGAAATCAAATCAGAAGAACAGATAGATAAGAGCAAATGAGAAAACAAACAATCGACTGGCCAGAGCCGATGCAAGGAGGACCAATGAGGGCTTGTCTTGGTAAGCACCAGTGGCACGAGCTGTGAACAGAAGCTATTGCTAGCGCTAACACCAACACCACTCAGAACTCACGTAAACTTGTAGTATCCATCAGTGATGAAAAGAACAAGAATATGTCCATGACTGGGAGAAAAATAAGAGGAAATCTGTGGGGCCTTTTACGTTTGACAAAGAAGAAAATAAAAGAAGGAAATATGAAGCTCCGTGAAGAGGCATCGCAGCATTAACATGGTTGAAAAAGAGTTGATTAATTTGCTATACCGCCATCATGTGGACAAAAAATGTAAAACACTCTTAAGTGTAAATGGTGCCTCCGAGATGTCTACAGTTGATCTACAATGATGTTATATAAAAACAAGATTGCTCCAAATTAAAGTAGTAATGTTTAGGAAAAAAGTATTTTTAGTCAACTATAATTAGACTAAAACTAAATTTAATTGTAGTCAAAAGAACAAAAGTTGAATTTCTTGTCAAAATGAACACTGGTTTTTTGTAGGGCAGGGCGATATGGAGAAAAAAAAAATCTCAATATATTTTTTGTATATCTCCATACACGATATATAAAAATATTTTTACAGTATAAATAACCCTCCAAAAACTACTGCAAATACAAACATGCCAATTGTCAAAGTATTTTTGTCATTGAACCTCAGAGAGAGTCAGTTCAAGTAGGAACATCCGTGTTCTTTTCCTGTTTACAAAAATTATAATTTAACTGAGAAATAAATGAAGAATAGATACATATTGTTGTATTCAAAAACTTTAATGTGCATTTAGGAACAAAGTGCTTCTGCAACATTTAGGATTTAAAAATCCTGATTACATTAATAGTTAGTAACTTGTTCCAATTCAGCCGCTCTCTCTGTAGTCTACATTTGCGGGAGTTCTTGTATCGCAAAGTAATGCCTCGACTCGGTATCTGTAATCTATGTTTTAGCTGCGTATAAAGTTTACAGTCTCTATAAAGCCACGTAGTTCCATGAGAAAAAAGGTTCTGTGTCCACCGCTGTATGAAATAAAACGGACTGACACTACACCACTATGACCATGTGTCATATTCGACACTCAAAACGGATTGTAGATGGAGGAAGTAGTTTATAGATATTATTACATACTTCATATTTTGTAGTGTCAAAGTATACCCTAGCTAATATAGACTGTATATTAGGAGTAGACTGACCAAGTGTGACATCACCATAGTGTTGGCCTTTAACCAGATGACCAGATAAATCACAACTAAAACTTATGTCTTGTCAAATTTTCACAAATTCCGTCCAAATGTGTGTTTCCCAACCAGCCGTGCGTACGCTCACTGCTCTGGGGCAGATGTGGGTCACGCTCTGGTCGTTGCATAAGTCAATACTACTGCAGTAATCTGCTAATGCATCTCCTGTTAGAGCACAAACCTAATGGAACGTTTACGCAAGAACAACAGCTATTACTGATATTTAATGTAATAGATTATGAACTGGGAGGGTCTTAATCTCAGCATCAACCACGCTCTCTCTCTCCCTGGTCTCTCTCTCTGGTGTCTCTCTGGTCTCTTTCTGGTGTCACCCTGGTCCCTCTCTTGAATGTGTTTCTTGTCTCTCTTTCTGGAGATTCTCTCTCTCTCTGTTCTGTCTCTCTCTGGGAACTTTCTCTTGTCTCTGGTCTGACCCTTTTTTCTCTCTCTGGTCTCGCTCTCTGGACGCTGTCTCCAGTCGCTCTCTGGTCTGTCTCTCTTGTATCTCTCTGGTCTCTTTCTTTCTGGTCTGGTCTCTCTTGTATCTCTCTGGTGTCTCTCTCTGGTCTCTTTCTCTCTGGTCTGGTCTCTCTTGTATCCCTCTGGTGTCTCTGTGCTTTCCCTCTGGTCTCTCTCAAGTGCCCTTGTTTCCACTGATCATAATTCGGGATTACGGGAATATTCAGTGTTTTCTGTTGAAGGGGCATAAAGCATCAAAGTCTAACCTGCATCATGCATGTAAATGTGAGATAATCTTCTTTGATATTTGTTTTATAGTTTTGTAATTTTGACATGTTTGACTTTTTCACAATTGTGTCAAAAAAACTATTGAAATTGTTTTTGTTTTATTGTTTCTAATACCTACAGTTTAGTTCTGAGGAGATAACAATAAGTTTGACAATTTTAGTAGAAGGTTTATGAGTCAGACCTTCTATACTGCCTGCAGAATGATCTGAATATGCGTATATGAAGTACTCGTGGACTGCACCCCCCTCCCTGCCTGGGATCCGCCTCAGTCCTGGATCTACAGCCTCAGTCCTGGGTCTACAGCCTCGGACCTGGATCTACAGCCTCAGTCCTGGATCTACAGCCACAGTCCTGGATCTACAGTCTCAGTCCTGGATCTACAGCCTCAGTCCTGGATCTACAGCCTCAGTCCTGGATCTACAGCCTCAGTCCTGGATCTACAGCCTCAGTCCCTGGATCTACAGCCTCAGTCCTGGATCTACAGCCTCAGTCCTGGATCTACAGCCTCAGTCCTGGATCTACAGCCTCAGTCCCTGGATCTACAGCCTCAGTCCTGGATCTACAGCCTCAGTCCTGGATCTACAGCCTCAGTCCTGGATCTACAGCCTCAGTCCTGGATCTACAGCCTCAGTCCTGGATCTGCAGCCTCAGTCCTGGATCTACAGCCTCAGTCCTGGATCTTCAGCCTCAGTCCTGGATCTACAGCCTCAGTCCTGGATCTACAGCCTCAGTTCTGGATCTACAGTCTCAGTCCTGGATCTACAGCCTCAGTCCTGAATCTACAGCCTCAGTCCTGGATCTACAGCCTCAGTCCTGAATCTACAGCCTCAGTCCTGGGTCTACAGCCTCAGTCCTGGATCTACAGCCTCAGTCCTGGATCTACAGCCTCAGTCCTGGATCTTTGCTGATGCAGGAAATTACAGTGACGCTCCTGGACATTTCTGCACTTTTATTAGTATTTCTAGACAGTGATTCTCCTGCTCCCTATGGGCCAACAGCTCCTATGTGCTTGTTATTATTGTATTTCCAGTTTTCAAATTCTATGATTCCTTGATCTGTTGTTGGTGAATCCTCAACTTGGTGAAGTCCTCCGAGACGCTTGCTGTTGTGATTTAGGGCAAGACATTAATATATACTCTCTGCAGACGTTCTCAAAGAAGCATCACAGAAGCCTACGCTCAACGACACTAACAAAGGGGGTTGTCAGAGCGATGGCTTATTGGATAGTTTTGTAAATGAGAAAACACTTTCTCTTCTGCCTCGGACAGAAGCCGTTTACCTACACGTGCTCCAGCAACAGCTCAAGAGGAGGACGGGTGCTAAGTCCAGCTAAGTCAAACAAAAGAGAAGCTGCCAGGACATACTTAAGCCAACAGTTAACACTAACCAGAGAGCTGCAATTGGAAACGTGTGAAGCTAGTGACAGACACTAAAGCACCTTAGAGTTTTATAGCACAGTTCATTCTTAAGGCCACTCAAAAAAAAGAAAAGATTAAAAAAGGCATTAATATCATACACAATCACAGTGCATTCAAAATGAGTGAAGGTACAATCCTTCAATTGTTGCAGGGAAACAGAACTGTTTTAACCTTTATTTGAACATTGTGGACATCTGAAACTCTGCAAAACCAGATAGAGACCAGAGACAGACCAGAAGAGACCAGAGAGAGGGACCAGCATTGTTCAAAATTTGGCTATAAAAGTGTGAGTCTGGTCAGTCAAATGTTGTGTGTTTGAGCAATGATCACAACAGCTGTAAACATCTCAGGAGTTTGATCTACAGAGATTTCATACTTGACACACATTTCAAACGTTTAGAAAAAACAGTGTTTTTCAATCTTTTTTGAGCCAAGACACACTTTTTTCATTGAAAAAATCTTTAATGTAAAAATATATACTCCATAGCCTAAATTCACAATATAAAGTCATTATCAAAGTGCTTAAATAGACATCCAGGCCTTGACTTTAAGCTTTGTTTAATATTTCTCAATACAATTCTCAGTTAACAAGAGTTTGGGAATAAAGTGGCACTGTGAGAAAAATAATATTAAAACATCTGCTCTCAGCCCAAAAAGTAAAATAATGACTCACAGGGCTTTTAAGTATGCAAAATAATAATTACAAAAATTGCCTGAGTCACGGGAGAGACAATGAAGATGGTCCTGAACAAGAGTCCATGGTTCTGTCCACGGTTCCATGGTTCTGTCCACGGGTCCATGGTTCTGTCCACGGGTCCATGGTTCTGTCCACGAGTCCATGGATGGCGCTCGATACCACGTTACGAATGTATTTTCTTGAGAAGACACAGAGAGAAAGCCACACAGGCAGAGGAACTGAATTAGTACCAAAGTCCAGACTGTGATATCTGTGGCCTTTTGGGGACATTTTGATGAGACAACCAGCGCTGACATTTACCTGAATCAGCCTCATGGTTAATGCGACAGAGATGCTGCCTCTGTTTTATGCTGCACAGCCCTGAAGACTGGGACAATCTCTCAGCTGCAATAAAATCTATTTCCTCACTTGAAACTTTTAAACCTACTTAAGTCACTCACCTAGGAAGCATTTGATGGCTGAGGGCAGCTCTGAGAAACTTCACGGCAAACGGATTTATGATACATGTTTAATGTTTTATTTGCCTAATGATTGTAACCAACGTTACCGTAGGAACAGAACAAACGTTTCTCATGGGGTGACATTTTGTATTTGTATTGATCTCTGATATCTCTCTAATCTCTCTTTCTGGTCTCTCACATTTATATATTTCTGGACTCTGTATCATCTTCATGTATTAATTAATTCATGTATTCATTCTGCATCATCTTTAGATCAGCTAATTCAGACAGAAAAGAGAGGAGAACCCTCACTCAGCCAATCAGCTCTCAGCCGAAAGAGTCAAACTGTGACTGGAAATCAGCTTAAGCAAGCAATACCCTATCCAGATGATATAATACACCCATGGGTTACTCCTATAATCCCTCTGTAAAACATTTGGGAAAAAATGCTGCTGCTACAATCTTGAATTTTCCACAAAGAAGAGGCTGACCTGAGTTTGAAAGTGACCTTTTCTGAGACAGAGCATCAGGTTTTGTCCAGTGACATTTTACACAGTTTAAAGATTTTTTTACTCACACTCTGGCCAATGTTGTGCCACAAAGGTTCTTATTCTCAAATGCAAATGAGAATAAGGAAGGAGAAACTATGGACTATGATTGGTTCGCTCAACTGGGAACTAATCACACAGATCTTAGACCTGCTACTGTCACTGTGTCCGAGAGGGACTGCTATCAATATCAGAACTTATTTTGCAGAACAGTTCTGTCCATTCTGCCATTTTCTTCCGTTTTATTGGTCTGGTCGCGGGGAAGGAGATAGATGCCCAGACTTCCCTCCTTAAATACACTTTGTCTAGCTCATCTGGGGGAATCCTGAGGCGGTCACAAGGCCAGCTGAGAGACACCAGACCTCCAGCGTGTCTGGGGTCTTCCCCTGGTCTCCTCCTGGTGGGACATGCCCAGAACACCTTCCTGGGGGGAAGGCGTCCAGGAGGCAGATGTCTAAGCCACCTCAACTGGCTCCTATCCATGTGGAGGGGCAGCGGCTCTACTGCGAGATCCATGAGTGTTCCTGAGCTCTACCCCTTATATCCTAGGGTGGAACCAGAGAGAGATCAGAAAGCGCGAGACTAGAGTGTGACGCGAGACTAGAGTGTGACCAGAGAGAGAGAGAGCGAGACCAGAGAGACCAGAAAGGGACCATTCACTCCAGTCACTCTGCGGAGTTACTGGTTGTATCTCATCCTTTCGGTCACTACCTAAAGCTCACAACAAGAGGTGAGGGAGGGAACGTGGAGCTCTGACTGCAGACGCTGCTCCAATCCATCTTTCAGTCTCACCTTAATCCTTCCCGTGAACCAGACCTGAGAGACTTGACCTCCTCCACTAGAGGAAGGACCTTTGCCTTATTCTTTTACTAAATAAATTACTTCTAATAAGCCAATATTGTTGCAGTGTTGTGGTTGATTCAGCCGCTTTAAACGTCTGCTTCCAAGAACTGGCAATTTGTGGGATTAATTTGCACTGAACCCTCAATGACAGCCCAGTGTGTAATAGAGCGATCGTGCATAATCACCCCCAAAGCAAAGTTCTACAAATAAAACGGCAGCATTTTCGGAAACGCTTTGAACTAATTAACGTGTTCAGCCTAAATATTGTATTGCTGTGAGAGGTTGCCATGTAACGAACTGCACAGGAGTCTCCAAAGGGACTTGGATTATACAGGTTTGTGCTGAGAAACACAGATCTGGCACTTCTCGTGTTGTGGCTGCTGATGCGGTACAATGTGGGAATTAGCTGGGGTTATTCTGAGCGCGGATTGTCAGCGATGAGAGACGGGCGCTAATTTGGACTGAGGACAGAGTCAGGGGGGATTTAGGAGACCGCTCTTGAGACCAGAATAATAGATTCTGACAAAGCAAAACACACAAGAGAAGGTTTGCAATATGGTGTTTGTTTACTTCAAAACATGACACGGGAAGTTTCTATTTGTGATACAATATTCAAAACTATGTAATAAAAAAAGACATAATATATACCAGATAACATATTTATAATGAAAATCCATTCAGTTCACCAAAACCTGCCTCCAGGGATGTTTCCTCGGAGAACACGTTCAGAGAGAGGGCTGTTAGATTCAAAATACTTTGAAACACATTTTGTACAGCCTCGGTTCTGGATCTACAGCCTCAGTCCTGGGTCTACAGCCTCAGTCCTGGATCTACAGTCTCAGTCCTGGATCTACAGCCTCAGTCCTGGTTCTACAGCCTCAGTCCTGGATCTAAAGCCTCAGTCCTGGATCTACAGCCTCAGTCCTGGATCTACAGTCTCAGTCCTGGATCTACAGCCTCAGTCCTGGATCTACAGCCTCAGTCCTGGTTCTACAGCCTCAGCCCTGGTTCTACAGCCTCAGTCCTGGAACGGATCTACAGCCTCAGTCCTGGATCTACAGCCTCAGTCCTGGATCTACAGCCTCAGTCCTGGGTCTACAGCCTCAGTCCTGGATCTACAGCCTCAGTCCTGGATCTACAGCCTCAGTCCTGGTTCAGGCCGCTCCCTATGGAAAAATGGCTCCTATGTGTTTGTTAATATTGCACTCTCTGTATTCGAACTGTTTGATTCTCTTGCTGGTGTCTCATTCTGCTCTCACTCTGATTTTGCCCTGGTCTCTCCATGGTCTTTCTCTTCTTGTCTCTCTCTCACAACATTGTATAGTTCTCCAAGTTGTGCTTTACGGCAATGCACAAATAAACTGAACGGAATTGTGGGGGTATTGTGAACACCTTTTGAACTCTGAGTAGACTCGATACATTTGTTTTACTGCACACAGCCCTGAAGTTCTGGTAACAGAGAGAAAGCATCTGGGACTAGTGTCTGTGTGCACTGAGCAAAACCAAGACCGAGTGACGCCTGTGGGAACCGACGGGAAGTGAGACGTTGTCCACAGTCTATTTAAAACTGAACGTCAAGACTAAAGTCCTCTTCATTCAGCCACAGAACAGTGCAGCCGCCAAAAAGCTGTGTTCAGTGAGGTGTATGTTTAGTGTATTTCGCCAGGATGCGAAACAATCCTCATCTGTTCTCAAGATGTGAGTCAAATCTCATCTCTCAAATTCTATATTGGTAGCGTGTTGTTTGCGGAGGGCAAGAGTCAGTGTGTTTAGGGAAGTGGACAGAATTGGACCAAAGTGGGCAAACCGCCAGTTACAGCAATTTATCTGCAATTAGCCTCGATGAGCTTCAGCGAATCGATTTCCTCTCAGAGCGAGGATTTAAGAAGTTTTTCTCACGTTCAGAAACACACACAGACACAGACACACGCACAAACACACACATACAAACACCCTCACACACAGACATACACCCACAGACACACAGACATATATCCACAGACATAGACACGTACACACACATACACATACACGCACTCTGACATACACACACAGACACCCACATACTCACACACTGACATACACACACAGACATACACATACTCACACACATTCACACACAGACATACACACACAGACACCCACATACTCACACACAGACACCCACATACTCACACATACTCACACACAGACATACACACACAGACACCCACATACTCACACACATACTCACACACAGACATACACACACAGACATACACACACAGACACCCACATACTCACACATACTCACACACAGACATACACACACAGACATACACACACAGACACCCACATACTCACACATACTCACACACAGACATACACACACAGACACCCACAGACTCACACATACTCACACACAGACATACACACACAGACATACACACACAGACACCCACAGACTCACACATACTCACACACAGACATACACACACAGACACCCACATACTCACACACATACTCACACACAGACATACACACACAGACACCCACAGACTCACACATACTCACACACAGACATACACACGCAGACACCCACATACTCACACACATACTCACACACATACTCACACACAGACATACACACACAAACATACAGACATACAGCTTGTTTGGGTCAGGTTTATCTCCTCTCACTGATTCTGACCAGTGTTTCACGACATATTCTGTCTTGATCATCAGCATCTGTAAAACTTAAAGCTGCACTAACTCACTCACTCTGAATGTGAGCGCTGGCCTCTCCCTCCCCGCACTCACGGAGCTATTGCTCACAATATGGATCGCACATTTGAACGTGGATGGCGTGACCATAGAATGATAGAACCAGGAAGCACGGAGAGGATGAGACTTTCTTTTGGCTGTTTCTCTGAGTAAGCAGTAACGGGTAACGAAGACACGGGAAGCTTCAGGTTAGCCTCCGCCGCTTGTTTACCTCAGCTGTCTGTGCTAAGCAGAGACCTGTAGATTTTCTCAAGAAAGTGGGGGCCAGTGGTCCGCTGTGATTGGTCACAATATGGTCTCAAAACAAATTCCTCTTCCTTGTTGCACAAATCTGCACTACTTTTTCTTCAAAAGGACGTATATCCCAATGCATTGCATGGATATGGATTGAATTTTCATAATTAATACAAAAATAAAGTGAGGTAATGCAGCTTTAAGATCACAAATGTTTTTCTCTTTTCATGTTTGTCTCAGCCCTCACAACACAGAGCAGAATTCTGTGGTCTCTGTCTCTGAAGTGGTCTCTCTGTCTCTGCAGTGGTCTCTGTCTCTGCAGTGGTCTCTGTCTCTGCAGTGGTCTCTGTCTCTGCAGTGGTCTCTGTCTCTGCAGTGGTCTCTGTCTCTGCAGTGGTCTCTGTCTCTGCAGTGGTCTCTGTCTCTGCAGTGGTCTCTGTCTCTGCAGTGGTCTCTGTCTCTGCAGTTGTCTCAGTTTCTGCAGTGGTCTCTGTCTCTGCAGTGGTCTCTGTCTCTGCAGTGGTCTCTGTCTCTGCAGTTGTCTCAGTTTCTGCAGTGGTCTCTGTCTCTGCAGTGGTCTCTGTCTCTGCAGTGGTCTCTGTCTCTGCAGTTGTCTCAGTTTCTGCAGTGGTCTCTGTCTCTGCAGTGGTCTCTGTCTCTGCAGTGGTCTCTGTCTCTGCAGTTGTCTCAGTTTCTGCAGTGGTCTCTGTCTCTGCAGTGGTCTCTGTCTCTGCTGTGGTCTCTGTCTCTGCAGTGGTCTCAGTATCTGCAGTGGTCTCTGTCTCTGCAGTGGTCTCCGACTCTGCAGGGGTCTCTGTCTCTGCAGTGGTCTCTGTCTCTGCAGTGGTCTCTGTCTCTGCAGTTGTCTCAGTTTCTGCAGTGGTCTCTGTCTCTGCAGTGGTCTCTGTCTCTGCTGTGGTCTCTGTCTCTGCAGTGGTCTCTGTCTCTGCAGTGGTCTCTGTCTCTGCACTGGTCTCCGACTCTGCAGGGGTCTCTGTCTGCAGCGGTCAGGGTAATCACAGGTTATGGTCCAGAAGCCTGAATGACCACAGCTGACAGAGGCATCCTTCATCCACAAACAGAGAGAAGAATGGCTTCCACTAACAATAACATGTCAACAATACAGCGGCCTCACGGGAGATGCCTGCATGTTCAGAGACTCATATATCTCTGTCATACCTCAGGCTTAAAGCTCGACTACCTAACTTTGAAACCTTTTATACAAGCCTCAAATATGCTTCACTCTATACAGGTGATAAACAACCACTGTAGCCACAGCTGCCCTGGGGCATTCTGACAGCCCCTCCCAACACCATCAACCATTCACACACACCACACACACACACCAGAGTCATTCTAATGTGGGTGAAGTGTCTTGCCTAAAGACACAGTGACAGTTTGGTACTTTACAGCCGCAGCCGCTCTACTGTGGCACCTGCTGTTCCCAGAGGTCTTCCATCACAGTACTAACCATGCCTTCTCTTGCTGAACATCATATTTGCTCCAGTTTTCGTCCGGTCCCAACAAACAGTAAGTTAACTCACTTTGTTCAGAAAAGTTTACTAGAAATTAAAACCCGAACTCATGTTAAAATAAGTTCATAGTGTAAACATATAATCTAACTTTTATCTTAGAATTTAACCAACAAAACTACTTTTTGCTTTTTAAACTCTGGATCACCTGCTCTATTAGGAGGAGAGGAGAATGCGGAGCAGAACACAGAGAGATGTTTTAAACCTCACTGATGTTACCTGGTGTCTGTTTTATGCAAGCTCATCTTTTTCAATTTTTCCTTTTGTACAAAATGTTACAGCTGCGAAGCTTTATTCCAATTATCTTAAACAGAAGTGATTAGCGTTGGAGCGCAGGCCTTGGTCCCTGCTCCATATTTCATTTGTTCATTTATGCCGTTACATCATTAGTCACTATTACAGTCATCATTGAGAGCACAGAGCAGCGACAGCAGCGACTCTTCGTGTCTGAACCAAACAATTAGCTCAATATTTTCTGCTCGGAGCCAAAGACGAATTAGGAAGAGGTATGTAAATGTCTCCGGAGGCTGCAGCTGCTGTGTGAGGGCTGATGTGTGGTCTCTCTCTGGTCTCTCTCTCTCTGGTCTCTCTCTCTGGTCTCTCTCTAGTCTCTCTCTGGTCTCTCTCTGGTCTCTCTCTGGTCTCTCTCTGGTCTCTCTCTGGTCTCTCTCTCTGGTCTCTCTCTGGTCTCTCTCTCTCTGGTCTCTCTCTGGTCTCTCTCTGGTCTCTCTCTGGTCTCTCTCTGGTCTCTCTCTGGTCTCTCTCTAGTCTCTCTCTGGTCTCTCTCTGGTCTCTCTCTGGTCTCTCTCTGGTCTCTCTCTGGTCTCTCTCTCTGGTCTCTCTCTAGTCTCTCTCTGGTCTCTCTCTGGTCTCTCTCTCTGGTCTCTCTCTGGTCTCTCTCTAGTCTCTCTCTAGTCTCTCTCTGGTCTCTCTCTGGTCTCTCTCTCTGGTCTCTCTCTGGTCTCTCTCTGGTCTCTCTCTGGTCTCTCTCTGGTCTCTCTCTCTGGTCTCTCTCTGGTCTCTCTCTGGTCTCTCTCTGGTCTCTCTCTCTGGTCTCTCTCTGGTCTCTCTCTGGTCTCTCTCTGGTCTCTCTCTGGTCTCTCTCTCTGGTCTCTCTCTCTGGTCTCTCTCGCTCTGGTCTCGCTCTGGTCTCTCTCTGGTCTCTCTCTGGTCTCTCTCTCTCTCTGGTCTCTCTCTGGCCTCTAACTCTAGTCTCCTTCTGCTCAGTCTCCGGTCTCTCTCTAGTCTCTCTCTGGTCTCTCTGGTTTTCATTTTCAGATATAAGTAAGCATATACGTTGTTCAGATCCCGACATGTTAGTGAACACTACAACAACTACAACAATCCAGTCCTAATTATTAAAAACTCTAAAAATCAAATGACTCTGATACTGACACCTGCGCTTCAGATAGTAGTTTAAAGTTATGGATATTTTTACATATGGATCAACAGTTGTCATTGATTATAACTGTACGAAGCAGACAAATAGACAAAACAACATGAGATCCTGAAGTGAAACTGGGGTCCCTTCGACCCGCGGCTGGTGGAGGGATGTTTCAAAGACACTCAGTGGGAATGCAAGGCAATGAATCATCACTTGCTGCTCTCTGTAATTGCTTTGTCCCGAGGCGCACCTGCCGCTTCTGACAGCTCCGACCGGACTCAACAACAGACTAATGAAGGCCGTTCATACCCTGGAGGCCTCACTGGTGCCCTGGAGGCCTCACCGGTGCCCTGGAGGCCTCACCGGTGCCCTGGAGGCCTCACTGGTGCCACTGAGGCCCAGAGGTCTGGCCAGAGTCAAAGCAGAGAGAAAACGGCTCTCGCTGCTAACTTTAAACCACGGAACCTTCTCCACCGACTCCCACTGATGTCTGCTGTCGTTGTGTCCTCCCTATATTCTATTTTTATTTTTATTTTTTTATTATTACTTATTTCAGTGAATCTTTGGCATACCACTAGAGGGAGCCCCGAATACCACTAGTCGTACCACACTTTGAGAATCACTGTTTAACACCACATACATTTGCAAACAACACAGTAGACAGTAAACATTAAACATTAGATAGACCAAACATAGACACAGATAACAGCACGATCAGAGGCCTCAAGGACCAGAGAAAACAGTTAGAAACAGAACGTCTAAAAGAGCAGATCTTGTACAATCAAGTGCAGTATTATGTTGCACTTAACCAAAGATCTGATTGGCTGATGTGGTTGTACCAATGGCCGAACCTTCATGCGGATGTCAACGTGTTTAAGATGGATTCTACTTCTACCTTTCACTGCCAACAAACTCTACTTTGATTTATACACTTTTGGTGCACTCCCATAGGGCAGTCTGGCCTCTGCATTTGACCCGAGCTGAATGCCACAGCTTCTATTGCTTTTATGAAAATATCTACAAACTTCAACAATATACATTTCAAACAGGTGAGATGACTACACGGTTTGATTTCCACAAGACAAACCGTGGGTTCTCATTATTTCCGTCATCTCTATCGTCCTCCTGACAGACAGAAACGCTCCCACACACTCGCCACACTCTCTGCCTCATTTGAATACTAACTCTTCCCTCAGAAAGACCGACCCGCCTCACCTTCCTCAAAACAGATCCTTCATATCTTCAGAAGGAAGTAATAACACAGAGCAGAGTGAGCCCAGTCCTCAAACACACACTACTCATCAGAATGCAAAACAGCAGCAGCAGCAGAGCCCTCCCCAAACACTGCAGTTGCACCGAGGAGCCATCAGGTCTATGCATCTGAGCCGCCATAATCACACAACGAGGAATGTTCCGATCCAAAACTCACGGTAGGTTTTGTGACAAATGCTTTAAGTCAAGAAAGCAGTTAAGAACGGAGCCAACGGATCAGGTGTGTGCCTGAACTCCGCTCCGCATATGGTTATTTGTAAAGCACAATTCAAACACAAGGAAACATCAAACATCTATTGGAAATACTGGCCTATTAAACCTATTTTGATTTGAAAATGTGCTTACGTTAAATTGCTTGCATTAACTATTGTCTTCCATTTTGAGACTCCTTTACCCATTAATGTTGACAATAAACCTGTTTTGTAGCTAGTAATACTCTGCTCTGGTAACAGTCAAAATCTACCACAATATAAATACACACATTGGCCATCTCAGGTCTCTCTCTGGTTTCCCTCTGGTCTTTCTCTCTGGTATCTCTCATCTCTCTCGGCTCTCTCTCTCTCTCTGGTCTTCATCTGGTCTCTCTCTCTGGTTTCGCTGGTCTTTCTCTGTCTGGTCTCTCTCATCTCTCTCAGGGACTCACAGACAGACACAGTTCTGTGCTGATATAACCAGAATGAGGTAACGTACGACTGCTTAGAACTTTCTGGATTCAGTTACTTATGTAAAGTGTTATACTTCACATGCCAGTATATTTGTATCCATAAAGAGACATCCAAGAGTTAGTTAAATCTAACTGATCTGTTAGAATGAAGTCAGCGGGTGGGAACCAGGTCAGGGGAGTGTGACCTACAGAAGAACAGAAAAGGAGATGTAGGTTAAGTTAAGACCGTGTTTTCTCTTTCTCACTGTGCTCCGGTGAGGCTAAATCCTGCCTCTGTAATCTCCTTACTCAGCTCCATCCTCTTAAAGAAGCACAGGCACCAGGCGGACCTAAGCCACTGGTGGGACTGGTGCTGCGTGGCCAGACAAGGATAGAGGTCAAGGGATCAGTAAGAAAGCAACTTTGTGTAAACGTCATCAAGGTTAGCCTCTGATGTCTTTACCCTTTTACACAAATGACTGGAAAACCTGTTTCCACCAGCTGTTTCCACCATCATACTGTAGCACTGAAACAGCACTAGTCAAAGTCTAGCTGCTGATAAAGGACACGTGTCAGTGTTGGTCCTACTGGACCTCAGCGCTGAATTTGACACAACAGACCACAACATTCTACTGCAGAGGCTCGAATGTGACATATGTCTCAGAGGAACAGCTTTTTGACTGATTCTTTTCGCTCTACATGCTTCCGTTAGGCAACATCATTAAAAAGCATGGTATTAACTTCCACTGCTATGCAGATGACACAAAGCTTTACCTGTTGATGAAACTAACTTAAAAAGGCTTAGTGCCTGCATAATAGACCTAAAAACATACATGACTCTTATCCTTCTCGGCCCTAAGCGTGTGTCTTGCCGATCAGATAATCACGCTCAATAATGTTAGCGTAGCACCTAGCAACACTCTACTCTCAAGGCCAGGTATATGGTTAGGTAGTAAAGACTCAAGTAAGACTAAAAATCTTAGATCGACAGTCATGCTGCATATGGAGTCAGTTTTCAGGGAGAAGTATGGTCACTTGAGCACTATCCTACTTTATCTGTCTGCAATATTAGGATTTTGACTGTAGTCTGTTCACTGCTCTTCACCAGTTGTCCCATTGTCTATTTCTCACTTTTCTCCCACTGGGTTTTAGGGTTTTTCCTTGCCGATGAAGGAAGACTGTTAGTGGGTCTAACAAAAAGGACTGTGATGATCTAGGACAAACTAACATTCTATAAATGTATGGATATTTTTTAACATTCACGGACATTGGTCAACTACCTATGTGTTCTTCATTTTTTGTGTTTGAACTGTTTGATTCTCTGATCTGTGTTGATGATTTCAACGGTTTTGTTAAGTCCTCTGAGATAACTACTGTTGTGAATTAGGGCTATACAAGAATAAATTGAATTTAATTGTAAGTCTTAATTAGCCTTCACCATTTAGTTTCTACTTCAAGCTAATTTATCACTTAAAAAATAAATAAATAACAAAGTAAATAGTTCCATTCTCATTTTGATGTTTCAAAATGAATTTAATTACTTCTCTATAACTACTTGATAAGAATGTACACCTCCAATATAGAGCAGCTTTAACCACGTGAGATCCAACCACTCATTTATTCAGTCGTGCCACAGATCAATCACCAGGACGCCGATTACCCCCATTACTGGCGCTGCTCCGCACACCGCGCTCAGTCCTGCGTCTGCGGCTGGAGACTGGGCATCAATCATCTTGCTCAGGGCTGCAGCGCTCCGAGCCTGCGTTTCAATAACCCTGTGTCACCTCACTCTCCGGAGGATCACAGGAAGGAATTCTCTCCAAAAACAAAGAGAGACTGCGCCCACGTCTTGCGCAACTCAGGGTAAGAACCAAGACGGAATCAGAGGTTTCACAGAGAGGATAGTTGTCAGGAAATCTCTGAATACAAGATAATAAATATCAGCTACGACTTTACTGTCCCCGTAAGGAAATGTGTCCTATGCATTTGACCCCTATTTCATTACCACAAGGGCCTCTGTCAGAGAGAGAGAGAGAGAGAGAGAGAGAGAGAGAGAGAGAGAGAGAGAGAGAGAGAGAGAGAGAGAGAGAGAGAGAGAGAGAGAGAGAGAGAGAGAGAGAGAGAGAGAGAGAGAGAGAGAGAGAGAGAGAGAGAGAGAGAGACTGGAGCTGTAGAACAGCGCCCTGGACCCAGAATTTGAGTATTTTGCCTATCGTGTATATGTTTCGTGGTGGACAAAGGGAGAACATGCAAATGCCGCTCAGAAGGGTCCTGTTCCCATCATAATTGAAACCTACAAGTAAGAGCGCTTGTCAATCAATTTGAAAAGAAATACTACACAAACAAATGCATTTAATTGAATATGGCTTCCAGCTGCACTCTGGCCACTCACAATACAATACAATTTATTCTTGTATAGCCCTAAATCATAACAGTAGTCATCCCAGAGGACTTATCAAAACCCTTGAAATCACCAACACAGTTCAGAGAATCAACAGTTTAGACACAAAAAGAATATAGAACACATGTTGATAAATGTCATACATGTTGAATGTTAAAGTGTCCTGGATCATCACCACAGTCCTTTTTGTTGGACACTAACTGTCCAACAGACCCTCCTGGGGTCAGTTGGACAGTTCTAACAATCACTGTCAGTTAGAACTATTTAGTACCAGCTCGGCCTGGATAGAACCAGGGCCAAAAGGGTCTAAAGAAGGACCTGGTAGAAAAATAAAGTATAGAGCAGAGAGAGTAGAGTAGAGTAGAGCAGGTAGAACTGTGTCTTAACTAAAATCGCACTCTAACAGCTCATATGCAGCTCATGAAAACGCAGGGAAATAAATTAAAACAATCCTCTCGTCTCCAACTAATCAGCCTCGACAAATGCCTCACATTACACGCATCATTCAACACACTTCATTCAACTTCATTTAATTCTGAGGAGCGCCTCATCACGAGCTGCCATTCAGAACTCACTCTACCATCAAACTACGGAGATCCACTCACGGCTGCACCGCAACACTAACGACCACCACTGATCACAACTCAGTATGGGAGGTCGCTGGTCCCGCTCTGGTCTCTTTCTGGTCTCTCTTTGGACTCTCTCTGTGGTCTCTTATCCTGGTCTCTTTCTGGTTTCTCGATGTGGTCTCTGTTTCTGGTGTCTCTCTTTGGTCTCTCTCACTGGTCTCCCTAGTCTCATGCTGGTCGCTCCTCATTACAGGAGGTCAGGCAAAAACTGCAAGAGCCTTTAAAAGTCTATCCAAACAATCTATGTTCCAGTGTGGAGGGAGCAGCTCAGGGCAAATGCATGATGAGATCACAGAATTCTCGAACTGTGGAGAAATTTGAGAGCAAATTGTGCTGTTTGTTCAAATCTTTGAAATGATTGGACCCAATGAAACAAAACTGGCACAGAGTGTAATGTCTTGACAGTGAGAATATAGAAACAAAAGGTTATCATTAAGACAACATTGCTGTCAGAAACTTTGAAGACTCCCCACAATTTAAAATAATCAGTCATGGATCTACAGCTTAGTCCTAGATATACAGCTCACGTCTGGATCTACAACCTCAGTCATGAAAAGCCTCAGTCCTGGATCTACATCCTGCGAGTGAGTGGCAGCGGATCCCTCTTCTCAACATGGGCCTCCCTGAGGTCCTTGTCGACGCAGTAGGGTCCAGGGACAACGCTGCATGTATATTCCAACAACATTTAAGTTAGAAGAACTTTTGGGGCTTGCATTCACTGCAGTGATTAGTTCAGAAGACTTCTGCGGTCTCGAGGAGTTGGACCTTCAGTCCTACTCCTGCCCCTTAGTGCGGTGTCCAGCTTTTGACAGCTGCAGCAGCGCTCAGATCTCTGCGATTGCACTTCAGTACTCGTGAATTTAGTTGGTTAGAAAAGTGTATAAAGTGTATGTGACGTGTTTTACACCCTTAAAACTTAGAGCTGCTACTTCAAGGATTTTACTGTGGCTTATTTTTAGAGCACATAACCCCTGCAGATAAACCAGGAACCAGTGTTGGGCAAATTACTTTAAAAGGGTAATACATTATGTATTACTTATTACAGTTTTTTTTTTAAAATAGCTTTGCCGCTAATCGCATTTCCGCCCGTTGATAAGTGACTCTGGAGAGGGTCATATCTCTGTTAATATTGACTCTTTTTGGACGTTAAAATGCAATATAACTCTAGGGACCTTTGTACCAAGTAAATATTACCCAGTTTTTGATTCATTGTGCATTACCATTTAAAATGTTTGCATCCTGGTTCATCTACCAAATGATGTATCATTCTCTTTGCTATATAAATACATTGACAATAAACACTGCAGAAAATGTACATGTGCCAGTTCCCTGTCATAATAACTCCATCAGCTGCTCTGTTCTGTGCAGTCATAGCCTTTACAAACTAAAAAGTTGAGGCACAACCACAAAGCTGGACCTGACAACAGCAAAGAACCTTCTATTCTATTGGACTTTTCTTTTTCTTTTTTTTCTTTTTTGCTAAAACCTTTAAGTATCTACATTTGGTTACTTGAGAAATATAGTCGAGGCCATAGGCGCCGATTTATCTTTTCCCGAGCGGGTGCTCTGTCAGCTGCATGGTCACGTGACACGCACATCACATCATTTCCCTAAACAGAATCGCAAGCTACTAGTTACGTTTAACATCGCATAGATGGGGATTTTCTTTATACATCAGGCTACACAGAATACACATACACTGATGCACAACTCACCATTGCTGTCATGTCATAGTAGGAGGAATGTGCCTTTTCTCGCCGATGTGCGCTTGATGAATTCATCGGCGATATCATCCAAACTCTGTTGCCGTGATGTGGTTTTATGGCAATTAAGTAATGTTACGTGGTTCAGCCTGGCGTGTCCCATTGTTGACCGTAGGTATGATTTTAGCCTCCGCAGACTTGAAAATGATCTCTCTGACGTGCATGAAGTTACTGGGACAGTCAGTGCAAGTTTTACCAGTTTAGCTATCTCTGGTAACATGTCTCTTAAGTATTCGCCATCACGTCTTAGAAAGTTAACAACGTCGTCAAATGTATCAAGGCTCACTCCTTTTTGTTTGGCCAAATCCATACACATGTCACGATGCAACGTTAACCTCGTCTCATCCAAATCATCTCCGTGGAACTCAATGATGCTTTCACAGCTCTTCTTTCCAGTGAGAAAATCTTCCACTTTCTTCATGTAATCAAACACGGACGGACTAAATCGAGTGTCCAATGAGGTGACTGCTGTGTCAATAACATCATAGTACAGCTGTCTGTAGACGTCCTCGGGAGTTTTAAATGCGTGCTGCGGGGCACCTCCATCCTCCAGGCGGCAGGGACGTTTACGAGGCCTGGGCACAGACGGGCTCTCAAGATGAAGATCACTTGCCTCACCAACCACGCTTTGCCACAGTGTAGTAAATGATGCTTCTTGGCGAAAAGATTTCATGTCATCTCGGAGTGTGTCTATTATCTGCATTGCTTTCTGCATATGCAATTGCCTCTTTTGGAGTGCAACTGATACCGTTTCAATTCGAGAGAAGAATTTCAGCATCAAGTTTAATGAAAAGAATGTACCAAACTTCTGAAGGTTTAAAAGCAATCCGTTGGCTTTTCCTCCAGCGTCCCCTCGGTCATTTTGAGCCAAGTCTTCCAGAAAAAGTAAGAGCGCACTGTAGTTGTCTGCAATTGACCGCAGTGAGGCCGTAGTCATTGTCCAGCGCGTTGGGCACAGAGGCCTCAAAGCTGGGCTGTCTTTGGTCTGAATCTGCTGAAACCAAAAAAGCCGCTTTGGTGACTGCCTGATGAGTGTAACTAGATCCCTAATAAGTGACATGAAGTTGCGACAAGACAAGTTGTTCTCAGTCACATCGTGCGCCACAAGATTTAAGACATGAGCAGTGCAATGCGTATATTGAGCTCGAGGTTCAATGGTCTGCACGCGGGCCTGTAGACCATTTCTGATCCCAGAGACATTTGAGGCACCGTCATAACACTGGCCTCTACACTTGTTGAGAGGCAGGGAAAATCTTATAAGAGCGTCTTGGAGAAGCTGAAAAAGCGCTTCTGCTGTGGTGGAGGCTGTTTCATAAAATCCAACAAAAATCTCCTCTGGCTGCAGCTCATCAGTCACAAAGCGGAGGCAGATTGACACGTGTTCCTTAACAGTGATGTCCGCAGTCTCATCCAACATGACAGCAAAAAAATCAGCATCTTTTACTTCCTTGAGAAGTGTTCTCAGCACGCCATGAGACATTATTTCTATCATTTCATTCAGAATTTCATGCGACAGCCATTTGCTTTCTTTTTGAGCCAACCACGACCTCAGTTCTGGATTATCTTGTGCACGCAGGTTTAAAAGCTGCATAATATTGGAATCATCATCTGTTTTCCCCCTTATAGCCAGGCCTTGACACAGAAGATATTGGATAGATGATAAAACAGCAATCAAAGCTTTTCTAGCGTCCACCATCTGCTTTTGTTTGGCAGCAGAAAGTGCAGATGTAATATTAACTTTGGCCTTTACTGCTCCACCTACAGTGATAGCGGCTCGATGAAGAGTGGATTTTTCATGACATTTAAATCGTTCAATAGCCTTGCTCCAACTTGAAAAACCACATTGCACAAAACTTTTCATTGACTCTTTATCATGCGCTGCTTGTGGAAGAGGCGCATTCATTTCTTTAGCCGAGGTACACACTTCACAGAAAACTTTATCTTTTATAGCATCATACGCTATCCAGGGAAACTTAGCTTTCCATGTTTGTTGGAAGGTTCGGCCTTTCTGTCCTTTAGCGGCATTGTCCTGTGTTTCCTCGTTGGTAGATGCTGTCTCATGTATGGAAATATTCTCCTCATTGATGGAATCATCTGATGCATGTTTCTGTCTTATTACAAATCGGTCCATTGTTCTCCTGCGTCGTTTTGCTAGCTTTCTGTTTTTGGCGGTAAACGTTTGCGTTTGTTTTGGCCAAAGTAACGTAGATACGTCACATAATTTAATGTTGACAAATCAAATCAAGGACAGAGGGGTTTTGCCTGGCAACAAGATTCCATCGTGTATGTTGAAGGCAAATTATATTTTTGATATTATTTATGTGCTAGATTCAATTATTATTATATTACTGGTCGCGGTTTTTTGTTTTGTTTTATTACTTCAGGACAAATTTTCCTGGGTGCTCAACTATTTGACTGGGTGCTCCAGCCCCGCAGCACCCACGGTATCGGCGCCTATGGTCGAGGCATTGTAACAGACATGTAGACATAAAAGCCAAACACCAGCGGTCAGGGTCAGTTTTAGAGCTTCTCTCAATAGAGAGGGCGGCACGGTGGCTGAGTGGATAGCACTCTCGCCTCTCAGCAAGAAGGTCCTGGGTTCAAATCCCGGCCGGACCAGGGCCTTTCTGAGTGGAGTTTGCATGTTCTCCCCGTGTCTGCGTAGGTTTCCTCCGGGTACTCCGGTTTCCCCTACCACTAAAAATATGTTCAATAGTTCTAGCATGTGCCTCCTGTTCTGGCCCCGCTCCCATCTCTGTGTGGAGTGAGAGACAAATGCCCAAAATTAACAATTGTAAACCGCTTTGAGACTCAGATCTGCAGTGAAAAGGCGGTATATAAATAAAAACTTACTTACTTACTTACTAATAGTTTTCAGCCAGACAAACATCATCAGACTAGAGTTCTCTAATCATCAGGTAGCCTTGAAAAACAATAGAACATCTACAGCTTTTGCACATTGGTCATCCCGCTCCCTATGGACAAAAGGGCTTCTATGTGTTTCTTATTATTTCCTCTGTTCGAACTGTTTGATTCCTTCTCTTTTCTCTCTCTGCCGTCCCTGGTCTCTCTCTCTCTGCTCTCTTTTTGGTCTCTCTCTGGTCCCCCTCCCTGGGCCCTCTAAGGTATTTCTATCAGGTCTCTGTCGCGCTGGTTCCTTTCAGGTCTTTCTCTCGGGTCTCACTCTGGTCCCTCTCTGGTTTCTCTCTCTGGTCTCCCTCCCTCTCTCTCTCTCTCTCTCTCTCTGGTCTCTCTCTGCTCTCTGGTCTGTTGCAGGTGAATCCACAACTTTGTAAAGTCCTCTGAGACGATAATTGTAGTTAGGGCAACACAGAAATGCATTGAATTTAATGCAATTGAACTGAAAGTTACAGTTCACATCAATAACACTTAAACTGTATTTCAGTAACAATCCTCATCAAAAACATCGCCTGAGTGAGTACAAACTTTCATATAGTTGTAATCTTTCTGCTTTTGCTGCAACATGAGATTCCCCTTGCAATGGATAAAGGTTAACTTGGTATATTTATAACTTTATATAAATAAGCACAACACACTCAGAAGCATTTGCAAGCTCTCCATCCTTATTCCCGGCCGCATTAAAAAAAACAAAAAAACCGCACTCACCTGTCTCCCAGAAGTAAACCGTGTTCCCATCTTCCACCTGCGCCGCCGCTACCTCCACTCCGCACGCCAGCAGCAGGAGAGAAACCCCCCACAAACCCCACCTCCGCGGGGGGTCCCAATCCCTCACCGTGCCGCGTCCAAACCGAGCGGTCCGCCCGAGTAAATCCATAGCAGTAGTTTCAGAAGGTCATTGAAAAGAGAGAAACAAAAAGGAGGGGGGTGGAAGGGTAGATGTGAGAGTGTATGGGGGGGTCCCGTCAGGGCAGGGGGGGTCCCATGGGTGATAGGGGGAGCGCTGGGTGAGGCTCGGCCATAGCTTTTGGCAGAGAGCTGGAACTGCTGCTGCTCGGAGCTCGGAGCACTGTGCGTGTGTGAGTGAGGATGCAGCTAGATCCCTCCCTCCTCTCTCTCTCCTCTCCCTCTCTCTCTCTCATCTCTCTCTCTCCCTCCCTCCTCTCTCTCTCCTCTCTCTCTCTCTCTCCCTCCCTCCTCTCTCTCTCCTCTCCCTCTCTCATCTCTCTCTCTCTCCCTCCCTCCTCTCTCTCACCTCTCCCTCCCTCCTCCTCTCTCTCTCTCTCCTCTCCCTCCCTCCATCCTCCCTCTCTCCTCTCTCCTCTCCTCCTCCTCTCTCTCTCCTCTCTCTCTCTCTCTCTCTCTCTCCTCTCTCTCTCCTCTCTCTCTCTCTCTCTCTCTCTCTCTCATCTCTCCCTCCCTCCTCCCTCTCTCCTCTCCCTCCCTCCTCCCTCTCTCCTCTCTCTCTCCTCTCTCTCTCCTCTCTCTCTCCTCTCTCCCTCCCTCCTCTCTCTCATCTCTCCCTCTCTCTCTCTCCCTCTCTCTCTCTCTCCTCTCTCTCTCTCTCTCCCTCCCTCCTCCCTCTCTCCTCTCGCTCTCTCTTTGCTCCTCGCTCGCTCGTACTTTCTCGCCAGCCTAATCCTCGCTCGCTCTGGTGCCTGGGATGGACTGCTCTTTTCACTTCAGATGTTGACCTGTTTAATGAGGATGAATTATTATCAGAGGAGGTGGAGTGGCCCAAACCTGGACTCAAGAGAGAGTTTTATCTTGCGGTCAGTCCAAAACAGGGCTGTGCGATCTGGTTAAAACCACAAATTCTGTTTTATTTATTTCTGTATAGTCTTAAATCACAGCAGCAGTAATTGGCAAATTTCACCAACAAACAATTAGAGCACAGGGGATACACTGTAGTAATAAGAAACACATAGGAGCCAGAGGTCAGAGTGATTTGGACCGATCTCAATTTCTGGTATAGTTTTTAAAGCTAATTAAATAACTTAAAATACAACAATAATTACTGTTATGACAATATTAAAGATGCTATACTAAATATTTTTGTATTATAATCCGCAATTTAATGTAAAACTTGAGCTCATTGATTCAGCTTGTGTATGAATTCAGGCCGTATAAAAGTGCTGAGTAGAGACTTTAGCGTGACGCCCGCTCTCCTCCAATCACAGAACGAGGCTGCGTCCTCTAGCCTCTACAGCGCTGCTAAACACAGTAGCATGTTAGCAGAATTGGCTATAACTCCTCTGGCTGTAACTGCAGACACAACAAAACAGCCCAAACGACACAAAAGTGAGGAAGAAAAGAGGGAACTAAAGCAAAAAAATTATCAAAGAGGAAATCAATCACACAAATTAACTAACAGTAAAATAACTCCATCAGATCATTCTCCAATCTGGCACAACCCGGACTTCCTCAGCAATAAAAAAACCATGAATTTCCGTGCGTGGGCCGAAAAATGTATCACCCACCTAAAGCACATTATCCACCACAACATGGTCCCTTTTTCTGATCTTGTCCAGGAGCATGGCATCGAGAGCAAACAAATCAAACAAACAAACAAATCTCAAATACCTTCAGCTCAAATCATCCATAACCTCTGCATTTTCAAACTTAGAACTCCCCTCATGTACAACAGATGTGGTCAATATCACTTCAACAAAATATCTGTAATAAAATGGGAATAAAAGACCTAGGTTTGTCTCTCGATGCCAGTTCCTGGACCCAAATCTGTCAAAATATGTACTCTATGTAAAAAAAACACCAACTTACAGCTGATACAGTACAAAATCCAGTGTTTCTATCCATGCCAAATGTGACATCCTCTCGTTGACACCCTCCTCTCGTTGACACCCTCCTCACGTTGACACCCTCCTCTCGTTGACACCCTCCTCTCGTTGACACCCTCCTCACGTTGACACCCTCCTCTCGTTGACACCCTCCTCTCGTTGACACCCTCCTCTCGTTGACACCCTCCTCACGTTGACACCCTCCTCTCGTTGACACCCTCCTCTCGTTGACACCCTCCTCTCGTTGACACCCTCCTCACGTTGACGCCCTCCTCTCGTTGACGCCCTTGACATGTAAATTTCTCCTGTGTGAGATCAATAAAGTCGATCTTATCTTATCTCATCTACACGTCCCTCCTTAACCTGCCCCTTCATACCTCACTGACCTCCATCATCATTGTCCCACCCGTCACCTCAGATCCACAGACTCCAACCTACTTACTGCCTTCAGAACAAAGTGCCGAACCTTGGGGGACCGAGCCTTGGCTGCCCCCTGTCTCTGGAACTCACTCCCACAACCCATCAGGAACTCACTTTGGAACTTCAAATCACTAATATTTGTTGCTTTTTATTTTTTTTGTTTCTTATTTGTTCTTCTGTAAAACGTATTTGAGTGTCCAAGAAAAGCACAATATAAGTAAAATGTGTAATCATTATTAACTTTACTGTCTGAAACAGAGGCCAAAAACACATTTTTGTGAAAACGAGTCATAGAGTTGGTATGACTCACTTGCAAATAAGACATGAACATCTAAAAAATCAGAAAATAACACTGAAACCCATGAACTTGTGATATCATCGTTAAAAACACACAATTTAGTCCAACTTCTACACTTTACATTACCGTGTGATCTCATACATTTTATCAAACAGATGTCCCCCTCTCGTTGACACCCTCTCTCCCCCTCCTCACGTTGACACCATCCTCACGTTGACACCCTCCTCTCGTTGACACCCTCCTCTCGTTGACACCCTCCTCTCGTTGACACCCTCCTCTCGTTGACACCCTCCTCTCGTTGACACCCTCCTCTCGTTGACACCCTCCTCTCGTTGACACCCTCCTCACGTTGACGCCCTCCTCACGTTGACGCCCTCCTCTCGTTGACGCCCTCCTCTCGTCGACACCCTCCTCACGTCGACGCCCTCCTCACGTCGACACCCTCCTCACGTTGACACCCTCCTCACGTTGACACCCTCCTCTCGTTGACACCCTCCTCTCGTTGACACCCTCCTCACGTTGACACCCTCCTCTCGTTGACACCCTCCTCTCGTTGACACCCTCCTCACGTTGACACCCTCCTCTCGTTGACACCCTCCTCTCGTTGACACCCTCCTCTCGTTGACACCCTCCTCACGTTGACACCCTCCTCTCGTTGACACCCTCCTCTCGTTGACACCCTCCTCTCGTTGACACCCTCCTCTCGTTGACACCCTCCTCTCGTTGACGCCCTCCTCTCGTTGACACCCTCCTCTCGTTGACACCCTCCTCACGTTGACACCCTCCTCTCGTTGACACCCTCCTCTCGTTGACACCCTCCTCTCGTTGACACCCTCCTCTCGTTGACACCCTCCTCACGTTGACACCCTCCTCTCGTTGACACCCTCCTCTCGTTGACACCCTCCTCTCGTTGACACCCTCCTCTCGTTGACACCCTCCTCTCGTTGACACCCTCCTCGCGTTGACACCCTCCTCACGTTGACGCCCTCCTCTTGTTGACGCCCTCCTCTCGTTGACACCCTCCTCACGTTGACACCCTCCTCACGTTGACACCCTCCTCACGTTGACCCCTCCTCTCGTTGACACCCTCCTCACGTTGACGCCCTCCTCACGTTGACGCCCTCCTCTCGTCGACGCCCTCCTCTCGTTGACGCCCTCCTCTCGTCGACGTCGACGCCCTCCTCTCGCCCCCTCACTGACACCCTCCTCGTTGACACCCTCCTCTCGACACCCTCCTCTCGTCGACGCCCTCCTCTCGTTGACGCCCTCCTCTCGTTGACGCCCTCCTCTCGTTGACGCCCTCCTCACGTTGACGCCCTCCTCTCGTTGACACCCTCCTCTCGTTGACCCTCCTCTCGTTGACGCCCTCCTCTCGTTGACGCCCTACTCTCGTTGACGCCCTCCTCTCGTTGACGCCCTCCTCTCGTCGACGCCCCTCTCGTCGACCCCTCCTCTCGTTGACACCCTCCTCTCGTTGACGCCCTCCTCTCGTTGACGCCCTCCTCTCGTTGACGCCCTCCTCTCTGACGTTGACGCCCTCCTCTCGTCGACGCCCTCCTCTCGTCGACACCCCTCCTCGTCGACGCCCTCCTCTCGTCGCACCCTCCTCTCGTTGACACCCTCCTCTCGTTGACGCCCTCCTCTCGTTGACACCCTCCTCACGTTGACACCCTCCTCTCGTTGACACCCTCCTCTCGTTGACACCCTCCTCACGTTGACACCCTCCTCTCGTTGACACCCTCCTCTCGTTGACACCCTCCTCTCGTTGACACCCTCCTCACGTTGACACCCTCCTCTCGTTGACACCCTCCTCTCGTTGACACCCTCCTCTCGTTGACACCCTCCTCACGTTGACGCCCTCCTCTCGTTGACGCCCTGTAAGCAGCTGCAGTACATCCAAAATGCAGCAGCTAGAGTCCTGACAGGAACCAGGAAGTATGACCATATTAGTCCGGTCCTCAGGTCTTTGCACTGGCTTCCTGTGGCTCAAAGAATAGATTTTAAAACGGCTCTGCTTGTGTACAAGTCTCTCCATGGCCTTGCACCAGAATACATTAGTGACATGTTGGTGTCATATGAACCAGCCCGGACTCTGAGGAGCACAGGGACTGGCCTCCTGCTGGTGCCCAGAGTGAGAACCAAACATGGGGAGGCTGCGTTTCAGATCCATGCAGCTAAGATCTGGAACAATCTCCCTGAAAATGTGAGGGAGGCGTCTACTCTGTCAATGTTCAAATCCAGGTTAAAGACTGTTCTGTTTGCCTGTGCATACAACTGAAGGATTTTATCTCCATTTTTAATGCACTGCTGTCATTTATTTATTTTTTTAAATTTCTTGTGTAATTTTGAAAGTTTTAATGGTTTTATTCTTTTGTGTGATTTTAATGTTTTAATTGTGTTTTAATCTTTTGTGTGATTTTAATGTTTTAATTGTGATTCTGGTGTTTGTTTTATGTGATGATTTGTGATGTGGACTGTGAAGCGCTTTGTGTTGCCATGTGTATGAAAGGCGCTCTACAAATAAACTTTGATTGATTGATTGATTGATTGACATGTAAATTTCTCCTGTGTGAGATCAATAAAGTCGATCTTATCTTATCTCATCTACACGTCCCTCCTTAACCTGCCCCTTCATACCTCACTGACCTCCATCATCATTGTCCCACCCGTCACCTCAGATCCACAGACTCCAACCTACTTACTGCCTTCAGAACAAAGTGCCGAACCTTGGGGGACCGAGCCTTGGCTGCCCCCTGTCTCTGGAACTCACTCCCACAACCCATCAGGAACTCACTTTGGAACTTCAAATCACTAATATTTGTTGCTTTTTATTTTTTTTGTTTCTTATTTGTTCTTCTGTAAAACGTATTTGAGTGTCCAAGAAAAGCACAATATAAGTAAAATGTGTAATCATTATTAACTTTACTGTCTGAAACAGAGGCCAAAAACACATTTTTGTGAAAACGAGTCATAGAGTTGGTATGACTCACTTGCAAATAAGACATGAACATCTAAAAAATCAGAAAATAACACTGAAACCCATGAACTTGTGATATCATCGTTAAAAACACACAATTTAGTCCAACTTCTACACTTTACATTACCGTGTGATCTCATACATTTTATCAAACAGATGTCCCCCTCTCGTTGACACCCTCTCTCCCCCTCCTCACGTTGACACCATCCTCACGTTGACACCCTCCTCTCGTTGACACCCTCCTCTCGTTGACGCCCTCCTCTCGTTGACACCCTCCTCTCGTTGACACCCTCCTCTCGTTGACACCCTCCTCTCGTTGACACCCTCCTCTCGTTGACACCCTCCTCACGTTGACGCCCTCCTCACGTTGACGCCCTCCTCTCGTTGACGCCCTCCTCTCGTCGACACCCTCCTCACGTCGACGCCCTCCTCACGTCGACACCCTCCTCACGTTGACACCCTCCTCACGTTGACACCCTCCTCTCGTTGACACCCTCCTCTCGTTGACACCCTCCTCACGTTGACACCCTCCTCTCGTTGACACCCTCCTCTCGTTGACACCCTCCTCACGTTGACACCCTCCTCTCGTTGACACCCTCCTCTCGTTGACACCCTCCTCTCGTTGACACCCTCCTCACGTTGACACCCTCCTCTCGTTGACACCCTCCTCTCGTTGACACCCTCCTCTCGTTGACACCCTCCTCACGTTGACGCCCTCCTCTCGTTGACGCCCTCCTCTCGTTGACACCCTCCTCACGTTGACACCCTCCTCTCGTTGACACCCTCCTCTCGTTGACACCCTCCTCTCGTTGACACCCTCCTCTCGTTGACGCCCTCCTCACGTTGACACCCTCCTCTCGTTGACACCCTCCTCTCGTTGACACCCTCCTCTCGTTGACACCCTCCTCTCGTTGACACCCTCCTCTCGTTGACACCCTCCTCGCGTTGACACCCTCCTCACGTTGACGCCCTCCTCTTGTTGACGCCCTCCTCTCGTTGACACCCTCCTCACGTTGACACCCTCCTCACGTTGACACCCTCCTCACGTTGACCCCTCCTCTCGTTGACACCCTCCTCACGTTGACGCCCTCCTCACGTTGACGCCCTCCTCTCGTCGACGCCCTCCTCTCGTTGACGCCCTCCTCTCGTCGACGCCCTCCTCTCGTCGACACCCTCCTCTCGTCGACGCCCTCCTCTCGTCGACGCCCTCCTCTCGTTGACGCCCTCCTCTCGTTGACACCCTCCTCACGTTGACACCCTCCTCACGTTGACACCCTCCTCTCGTTGACACCCTCCTCTCGTTGACGCCCTCCTCTCGTTGACGCCCTACTCTCGTTGACGCCCTCCTCTCGTTGACGCCCTCCTCTCGTCGACGCCCTCCTCTCGTCGACGCCCTCCTCTCGTTGACACCCTCCTCTCGTTGACGCCCTCCTCTCGTTGACGCCCTCCTCTCGTTGACGCCCTCCTCTCGTTGACGCCCTCCTCTCGTCGACGCCCTCCTCTCGTCGACACCCTCCTCTCGTTGACACCCTCCTCTCGTTGACACCCTCCTCTCGTTGACGCCCTCCTCTCGTTGACGCCCTCCTCTCGTCGACGCCCTCCTCTCGTCGACGCCCTCCTCTCGTCGACGCCCTCCTCTCGTCGACAACCTCCTCTCGTCGACGCCCTCCTCTCGTCGACACCCTCCTCTCGTTGACACCCTCCTCTCGTTGACACCCTCCTCTCGTTGACACCCTCCTCACGTTGACACCCTCCTCACGTTGACACCCTCCTCTCGTTGACACCCTCTTCTCGTTGACACCCTCCTCACGTTGACACCCTCCTCACGTTGACGCCCTCCTCTCGTTGACACCCTCCTCTCGTTGACACCCTCCTCTCGTTGACACCCTCCTCTCGTTGACGCCCTCCTCTCGTTGACACCCTCCTCTCGTTGACACCCTCCTCACGTTGACACCCTCCTCTCGTTGACACCCTCTTCTCGTTGACACCCTCCTCACGTTGACACCCTCCTCACGTTGACGCCCTCCTCTCGTTGACACCCTCCTCTCGTTGACACCCTCCTCTCGTTGACACCCTCCTCTCGTTGACGCCCTCCTCTCGTTGACACCCTCCTCTCGTTGACACCCTCCTCTCGTTGACACCCTCCTCTCGTTGACACCCTCCTCACGTTGACACCCTCCTCTCGTTGACACCCTCCTCACGTTGACACCCTCCTCACGTTGACACCCTCTCTCCCCCTCCTCGTGTTTGACAAGCGGGCAAACGTGAGCTCGGGTCTCCGGAGGCCGAAGCTCTGAACTCAGATGTAGCTCAGATATGAGAGGAGCACAGGGATTAACGTGGGAGCGCGGGAAACTGAAGAAGAGTAGAGGGGGGTTTGAGAGAGACTGAGGAAGATGAAAGGGGGAGGAGACTGAGAGAAGGAAGAGTGGGGGGGAAAGTGAGGGGTTTGAGATACTGGTCTCTCTCTTTGGTCTCGCTCTGTTCTCCCTCCCTTGTCTCTCTTTGGTCTCTGTTCTCTCCCTGTTCTCTCTCTTGTCTCTGTTCTCTCTTTTATTATTTATCTGATTTTATTAAAACGTATTTTCTTGTAGTGTCAAAGTGACTTCCAATACTCCAACTTTAATGTTCTGATGTATAGTGACAAATAATAATTCATATGTGGTGGTGTGGTATAATAAAGGCCTAATACCATAAACAAAATAAAGATTAGTTAAAGCAACATTTAAGATATAGATATAGATGTTGTCAGAGCTTCTGTACAAAGTGGTATCTATCTATCTTGCTTTTTACTGTGACTAGTTTGGACCCTGTATGTGACTGGTTTGTGCATGTATGAGGTCCCTATAGACGTATGCTGCTCCAGCGTCAGTCTGACAGGAGCCTATGGAGAACGCCCTCCTCCTCTGCACATAGATGACAACCTGTGCAGATCCACACAGCTGTATTTTTAGACCGTGATGCTCCTCAGGGCTCAAACAAAAGCTCTGTTTTACCACAGATGGAGAGACGTGAGGTGTTTGTGTCGGTCAGCTCTCATTCACAGCAAAGGAGAGACAATGGAACTGTCAAGACCGAGATGTCAAGTAGTTAATGCAAAACAAACAGAGGAAATTGAAAGGAAAATGTGTGTGTGTGTGTGTGCCTGAATTTGGATTTACATATTTTATATCCACTGTATTAAAAGAGATACGTGCACTCTAGTACCAACTTGTGGGAAGAAAGTAGTATGATATGTCAAGCATTAAAGGTGACTATTTATGTGAGTAAAATAAATGTTTGCACATTCGACCTTGTTCTACAGCCTCAGTCCTGGATCTATAGCGTCAGTCCTGGATGTATAGCCTCAGTCCTGGATCTACAGCCTCAGTCCTGGATCTATAGCCTCAGTCCTGGATCTACAACCTCAGTCCTGGATCTACAGCCTCAGTCCTGGATCTACAGCCTCAGTCCTGGATCTACAGCCTCAGTCTTGGATCTACAGCCTCAGTCCTGGATCTACAGCCTCAGTCCTGGATCTATAGCCTCAGTCCTGGATCTACAGCCTCAGTCCTGGATCTACAGCCTCAGTCCTGGATCTATAGCCTCAGTCCTGGATCTACAGCGTCAGTCCTGTTTCTCCGTGGGTACAGATCCCTCTCGATATGGGCCTCCCTGAAGTTTCTTACAATTTCCCACTGGGTTTTTGATTCCATGCAGCGCAGGTCCCTTTCTAGGGACATTTCTGCAAATGTATCAACATTTGTGAACAATGGTCATCCTGCTCCATTTGGACCAATGGCTTCTATCTGTTTCTTATTATTGCATTTTCTGTGTTGGTGAATTCTAAACGTTGTCCTCTGAGATGACTGCTTTTGAATACAAATACATTATATTGAATGAAACAGGTGGGTGTGGATAAGAGTTGTGCTGAACCCCAGGGGGTTAATTACACACAGCTATCCAGCTTGGATTGATTCAATGTTGCCGTTTCTATCATGATTTTGTATTGTTGTAGTACAATAAGACTATTTATTATCCAGAACACTCATTATAATTAAGGCTTATTGTTGGAGGTAATAGTCAAGTCTGTGACAACATTTGAACACTCAAACTGTAGTCTTCAGTAATTGAAAAGGACACCAGGCTTTGCGTCTACCCTGAAGCCTGGTCACCTGATATAACAACAAGTGACAGAAGGATGCTGTCGGGCCTTTGGGCAAGAGAACGGAGTCATTGTCAAAAAATAGGATTCGCGCAGAAAAACGGACACAAACGGAACACACATGTCAAGGACGAGCAGACAAAGGTGGAAAGGTCAACTTTATAAGGAACACGTGATTTTGTCAGGGATTTTAATCCCGGATACACAAGACCATCCGAGGATGAAGTGCACAGGCTGAGTGCGACACAGCCTTTGGCTATGTGAGCAGGGTCTGTGCTGGTGAGGCTGTCCTAGGATAGAGTAGAAATGACGGTGATGCGCCACAGCCTCTGCATCACCAAAGCAGCCGAGAGGACCTAAAGCTGAGGCGACCATGTTCTGGAGGAGATACAATAATATGTCATGTATATTTTAAACTTTTTGTGATACTTTTGTTATTGGTCACCCACATGCCAAGCCCATACTTCATTATTGTACATATCCTGCATTTAACATGTTTGCACATTTTTTCTTTTGCACAATCTTGAGTGTTTCTATCCATGCCAGATGTGACATGTATTGTAAATATCTTGTGTGAGATCAATAAAGTCTATCTTATCTTAATTGCCCATAGCTTATACTCATCTTTCGACCAGAAGCAACCTCCAAAGCAATAGACCCTTTCCACCTGTCACACAAACGCATCATTGCACACGGTCCATCCTTTCCTCTCTGAGAACCAGACCTGAGAGACTTGACCTCCTCCACTTGAGAAGTCTTCATTCTCTAAACACCACAATGCAGGTCTTGGGCGTTTTTCCAAATAAAACCGTTTTAAAAGCTGCAGAATCCGTTCTCATTTGGAAAAGGGTTAAAGTGAGGCATTTTACTAAGGTTAGTAACTGTGGTCAGACATAAAACTCATGTTGTCATGTAAAAGAAACCAAAATGCAGAACTGCAAAAATAATGGATTTAATAAAAGTAAAAGAAAACCAAAAAATCTAGAGTAAACACAAAAAGTAACCAATGAAGGGCTGGAGACAGTAACAAAAGCAACATACCAGGAATGACAATGACGAAGCAATGAGTGAAGGACTACACAGGGTCTAAAAACGACACACGGGTGAGACACATGAGGGCAGGTCAGGTAGTCGGGAACAGGAAGTACCAGTAAAGAAGACACAGGGGTTAACAAATTACAAACAAACAAAAAAACAGGAAAAAAACCTATACCATGACACATGCTCTAGCTCCAGGAACAATGTACATGTAAGAAAAACCAAACATGTATAAGACAAGGACAGATAGAGGAGCTAACAATGTTATCTGGATGAAGCCCCTAACATCTCCTACAGTAACTGACTGGGTTCATACCGTAACTCAAACTTTGTTGCATTCAAGTGTAGACTTATAGTAAACAAAAGGATTTAACAAGAAAAAAGTTCAGGATGATAAGGGACACCAACATCCCTACCAAACCTGTCCTTTATGAAAGCTGTGGGTTCTCGGTCAGCTGAGGTCGAGCTGTTTTAGTTTACGTTGAGTTCTGTGGGACATTTTCACTTGAATTTAGTCTGCAGTACCACGGCGCCCCTGGGCCCATTGGTGGGACAGCTATAAGCTAGTTCGTTCGTTCGTTTGTCTTTATTTGAGCATATTTGTTTCACACGGTGGACATTGAGGTACAGAGCAGCATGGCAAGTAAAGTGAGAGATAATAAAAATAAAATAAAATAAATATACAAATAAAAAAATGATGCCCCAGAAGGAGTAGGCAGAACCAAAGCTTATTAAAGCCTACCCCCTTTGACATTTACGGGTGAGCAGTGAATGGTCATATCATTATTTTTGTGTAATTTTGTGCAGTGCGTCATCCATGCCCAAGCCCAAACACACAATGTGTGCATGTACCTGGTTATGAATAGGTCATTTGTGTGTGTATCATCCATGTCAACAAGTCCCGTTCCTGGGCTGTCCTGGGTGGTTTACAACTCCAGGTAATACTTTATACCGATAGTATCACATATCCATGATCTGCATACAGTCCCTGTTAGCATTTTCCACCTGTATTCAGTCTGTTTTTAACTAGTATACATTCTTTACATCTCTTACACAAGCGTTCAGGTCGTTGAGTGTCTGAGGTAGATGTTCCTAATCCTGCGTGGGGTGTTTGACCTGAAATCCATCCTAAGTCGTGCTGCTGCTAATCAGATAACACCCAGGACACGGCTGCTTCTTTAGCTTCTGTTAGCAACTGATAGCCACCGTTAGTCTCTGATAGCCTCCACGCTTCACAAATAAGAGATGCTTCATCCACCACTTTTTTAGTTTCCAGATTTCTTTTGTATTTCATTCTGGAGAGACAACACAAACAAACATTTTATTACTTAATCATTAAGCTCCATTCTCAGTCCTGTAACAGTGTGATATCATTGTACCAATGCTTTAAGTGGGATGGTAAGCCCCAGTAAACAGTACCAGCACTTTAAAAATTTGCTCTTGAGCGTACCGCCGGCCATCCGTGCGCCAAGAACGTGCTTTTAGCATACCGGTACTTACAGTCTATGGCCGGTATGCTCATTTCGTTTTCATTCCGTTTTATTTCTTTAGCTGCACTACCGCTTTTCAGAGCGCCTTTCATATGGTGTTTGATACGTGCAATCACAGATCCATCCATCCAACAATTTTCTTCCACTTCATCCATTGCCGGGTCGCGGGGGCAGCAGTCTAAGCAGAGACGCCCTTCCCTATCCACACACACTTCCTCCAGCGTGTCCTGGGTCTTCCCCGGGGCCTCCTCCCAGTGGGACTTGCCCGAAACACCTCCCCAGGGAGGCGTCCAGGAGGCATCCGGACCAGATGCCCGAGCCACCTCAACTGGTTCCTCTCGACGTGGAGAAGCAGCAGCTCTACTCCGAGCTCTTCCCGTGTGACTGAGCTCCTCACCCTATCTTGGGACACGGACACTGTGACGTCATACATTCACTTCTGCGAGGAGAGCATAATTCCAACAAGGACCAGGGTCATCTATAACAACGACAAACCCTGGTTCACTGCTAAACTCCGGCAGCTCAGGAAAGCAAAAGAGTCTGCTTTCAGGGAGGGGGACCGCAGCCGCTACAAAGCAGCTAAATATCAGTTCAGGAGAGAACTGAAAGCAGCCAAGTCCCGGCACAGAGAACGACTACAGGAGCAGTTTGGTAACAACGATACTGCTTCTGTCTGGAGGGGCCTACGGGAGATCACCAACTACAAACCCAAAGCCCCCCCCTGCGCTGACGACCACAAGCTAGCTGACGAACTGAACTTTTTTTTCAGTCGCTTTGATGCTGCCCCTGACACCTCCCCCACCCCCCACTACTCTAACGACCCACCCATCAGCCCTGCCCCCAGCCTAACAATAGCCGCTAAAGAGATTAAACAACTCTTCCTGAGGCTGCACCCCCGCAAAGCTCCTGGCCCGGACCACGTGTCTCCGGCCACTCTGAGACACTGCGCCAGTGAGCTTACTCCTGTGTTCACTGACATTTTCAACACCTCTCTGCAGTCCTGCCATGTCCCGGCCTGCTTCAAATCCTCCATCATTGTCCCCGTCCCGAAGAAGCCCAGGATCACAGGACTCAACGACTACAGACCTGTAGCACTTACGTCTGTCGTCATGAAGTCATTTGAACGCCTGGTTCTCTCCCATCTCAAGTCCCTCACCTCCCCCCTCCTGGACCCCCTGCAGTTCGCCTACAGAGCCAACAGATCTGTAGACGACGCCATTAACCTGGCCCTCCACCACATCCTACAGCACCTGGACTCCCCGGGGACCTACGCCAGGGTCCTGTTTGTGGACTTCAGCTCTGCCTTCAACACAATCCTGCCATCCCTGCTCCAGGACAAGCTCTCCCAGCTCAACGTGCCCGATTCCA